GTTACACGCTCTCGAGTAATTAACACCGTTTAGTGGACGCCTCCTTCCGCTCTCTATAATCCAGATGAAAGAACCCTTCGCCTTCTTAGCACACAGAACTATGTACTCAGTCTGATGAATTTTCACTAAGCGTTTTCAGGATCGACTTTCTACTAACCTCGGTATTGGATTATAAATTCGTCGTTTTCTCTCGCAATAATCGCGAGGTTGTTAAACAGCATACGTTTACTTCCATACAATAACACACATACAACACAACCGTAGCTGGCGTTTCGGCAGAATCGCCTTCTTGAGAGCCTGGAAGGGTACACTAATACGCAACTCACTACGCTTCAACAGCATAAACAGAAAGATGAAAATCTGCACGAGAATTACGAGATCTACGGCTTTTCGAAAAAACCCACCGCTTTTTTACGTGACTTCCAATGAGGAAGGTTGGAACAGCTGACTATAGTCGCATATGATTGATGACTGCACCACCCGACATTAGAAATTGATGCCAAGATATGGGGCCAGGTCGCGTATGACCTCTGGGCATTCCTCCCTGCTATTCATTGTGGGGTTTTGGCATTTATCCGAAAAGCATAAAGAAGCTTTATCGCTGCACTTATTTCATCGCTAATCAAGATGCAAGATGAACGGGATTTTATTTCGGTCAAACCTTTCGTTTTGGGACGCAGATCTTCTAAAGCTATCTCGTAGGGTTACTATTTCGTAGCCATTGGAGATGGCTATTTGCCGAGTCAAGTCGCGCGATTCCTCCTTTAGCTCCCTACTTGTGCATACAGCGGTGGCCGTTCGAAATGTGTTACTCACAACCGCCCTCTTTGTGTGTGAAAGGTTGGAAGAAAGGAAATGAACCAGATGTTTTTGTTGCTTGGTTTTCGGTACCACTTCGTCATGTAACCGCTACTTGATAGCTTTGTTTCAACGTTTAGAAACGGAAGCCAGTTTTCTTTCGGTTACTGAACTAATGAAAACCTTCTCGTAGAACTTTCTGCGCAGTAAACGCAGACAAGGTTAGGTCCTGTAAATGTAAGGCACGGTGTTTTGTGTTAAATAAATGTTCAGTGAGAATTTTATCTGTGTACAATGTGTTGCTCCATTTTCATCATTGACGGAAGGATTGAAGAAAGAGATTATATGTCGACTACAGGTTTGAAGACGTAAGTGAAAAAAATACTATGGACTAAAAAGAGCACATATCAGAAAAAAAGTTTTGCGGTCATTCCTAGACCAGTTTTCACCGTTTATTTTGATATTTCTACTCCCTTTACGGGGACGAACGCGTTCGCCACCACATGATGCGGGTACTTCGTTACGCCTGTCTCTCGCATAGTTTTCTATCTACCGGTACCATCAGCAATCATCCGACAACGAAATTGATCTGGGAGCATAAATCAGCATTGAACCCAGTTAAGCTGAGGCTGTAGTCGAAATCACAATGTTAACTTTTTATTTGCTGCCTAATACATTAGTACTAGCTGAGAGGCAGGCGAAACGAAGGGCCCGCGTGGCATGGTGGTGAACGCGTTCGCCCCCGAAAAGGGTAATAGCGCATTTTTTCCCACCGTAGACACCTGCGGTCCAGACTTTTTCAAATACCTCAGCATCACTATGGTTTTTACATAATACCCCCTCCCCCTACACACACCCCACGCGTGTGAAAAATTGTTTAGGCAGCTATTAAAAAGTTAGCATTGTAAACTGCTAGCGTTTATTAAGAATAATTAAAGGATTTTCGGAAAATCTTGAGACTTTCGAATGAAAAAGATATTTGTAACACGGCGAAAGGCAAAGTTCTTAACAGTAATAAAACTGAAAAGGTAGTATGTGTTCGAAGCATAGCGAGCAAAACTGAAGGAGGAAGAGAAGGAGGGAGAGAAAGGAACAGACAGAGAAAGAGAGAGAGAGCGGAAATCAACCGAAACAAAATAAAAATGGTCTTCGTGACCTGTAATGAATTACTAAAGGGATCAGTAAAGTCTCTACTTACGCCTACTTCAAGTTCCTGAAACTGCTCCATTAATTCGCTGGAGAGGTTCAACATCACGATTTCCGTACAATCCACATTTTCACCTTTGTCGCCTTTTTTCTTTTTTCCTGACTAGGGTAGTCCTTGGTAACTTAACAAGCTCTGAAACGAGGGGTGCCTAAATCCATGTGAAATATGTTGGAGGGGAACAGTCGGGCGAGATGAGATCGATTCAGCGCGGTCAGAGTTCTCTGTAGGAGGGCAGCGCTTGGGACTGGGCGACTTCACTCGTGCGGTGCTCCCTTCTATACAGTTTGTCTCGATGCGACGGCTACTAAAACCAACATCACCGGAAGAAGTGACTGTTGTGGATATTCAATTCGAATCTTCTAACGGCTTCGTCGTATAAGCTTATCATTAAAGCGAAGCACTGATTATCATTCCGAACTATAACGAAATTCGCTACTGAGATTACAGTTGGTCTATTTTGGCTACAAACACTTCTGCCCACCTTGGATACACTCGCCCTAGAAAATGTTATAACTGTTATTTAAGACAAGGATGCTGAAATATAAGCGAAACTCGGAGTTTCAGTTGGGCTATGAACTAGCGATTACCTTTTTCAGGGATTCACGTGCTCTTCACCACACCAAGCACGTCCTTGAATTACCTTTCTCTCAGGCTTGGTTTCACTCTATGAATGTTATTAGTAATCACCGATCAACGGAAATGATCGGGAGAACACAAAACAAGGTTCGAAAATCACATGGCGGGTCTGTATTTCACATAATACTCTATCATCAAGAAGAATACGCAGTAAGTAATAGTAGAAACATTGGGACTTCGATTGCGGCTTTAGTTTAACTAGGTTCAATGGCGATTTGTGTTTCAGAGATCATTCTCGTTGACAGATGACTGCTGATAGCATCGTCAGAGTGGAAAATTGGTTGAGGGAAAGGTAAGACAAGGATCTCGATTGGTGGGTGGGTAGCACGTGAGCCGCTGAAAGGGTAATCGTGGGTTCGAAGCTCATCTGAGGTCCCGAGTTCTGCAAATACCCTGCTATGAAAAAAGAATAGGCAGCAGGCAAATGTTAATCACCGTTATTTAAAAACAAACTTATTTAGCACGGGCATTGGGTAATACGCCAAACCCCTGAAAAACTTCGCACATGACCCGCTAAGAACTGTGGAGTGAATTTCAAAAGGATAAGAATCTATTTCAGCACCGTTTTTTTTGTTTGTGATGAGGTGCTAATCCATTGGCAGAGCAAACCATATATAATATAATACCATATAATATAATTATAATAATATAATAATAAAATAACAATAAAAAAATAATAATATAATAATAATAATATAATATAATAATATAATATTAATAATAATAATATAATAATAATAATAATAAATAATAATATTATAATATTAATAATATAATAATAATAATATAATAATAATATTAATATAATATAATAATAATAATAAAATATAATAATAATAATATAATATTAATATTATAATATAATTATAATATTAATATTATAATTATACCATATATAATTACATTATCCGCTTCCGTTTCACTACCCCAACCATTATGCGTTGCTGACCCATCGGACGGTGATTCATTGGAACACAATTGAGACGCACATTAAAATCAATGCGCATGGTCGTGAGACGGTTAACTGTTAAAAAGATGGAGTGGAAAAATTGGAAGCGAAATGAATATAGCACACAATAAATGATTTATGGGGAGTCACATCGACTGCGGAAAATAAGTAAAGATACTGCTGCAGATCAATCGGTGACGGTATACGTAGGCGGACTAAATGAAAGAAGAGCAATGAGCCGCCACACCGACTATTCCATTATTTACTCAACTGTAACACTTCCTCTAAAACGTCTATGATCTTTACCTGATTAGGATGTCTAGCAAGGACGATTTCAAAAGCTAAGTAACACATATTAGAGTAGGCATATCTGGTCAATAGAATGTATTTCCAACCACCCGTTTATGGTTTGGCGCTTACATATAATACTGAATGTTATGTGCGAAAAATTTCACTCTATCACTTCCCTTTGCTTGCTAAACAGCTGTTCCGATCGAATCTTTACTAAGTGAAAAAAGATCACTAGAAAGATTGACACGGAAGAAACAACTTGAGAATTCAACACAATATGAGGAGAGGCACGCTGGAGGCGAGACACAGAGCCAGCCGAGGCGCGCTGATTAAAACAACTGGCATCTCCTGTTACTGTATGGTGTTATTATGCTAGCCTAAAAGGCACGCAAATGCTCCTAAGGCGCGTTCGGGCTCAACTTAGTTGATTCCGAGCACTAGACAGGAGGCATCATATATTAGAAGCTATAAAACTCTTATACACAGGGTTGAAAAAGACAAGTTGATTCGTTGAGATGGTATTGCCGAGCGGGAAAACTGCTCAGATCGCTTACACTAAATACTTGATTCAGAGAGCGAGAGGTGGTAGTATGAGACAGAAAAAACCGCCTGATGATGGAACCTGATGGAGAAGGCATCTGGTTGAAGCCAGATAGATAGAGACGGACAGCACAACTGCCATCTACACGTTAAAAGCCCGTATCAAACAACAATAATCGAGAACGCTACACAGTGCGCTCTCATCTCAACTATCCAAAAAAAGCAATGAGCACGTAAATATACAAAATTGAGAATAAAAACTACATAATGAAGGTCATGCAACAAAGGTCCTAAAATGAACACTTGAATACAATCATCACTCAATTCACCAATATCATTTGAAAATGCATATAGTGAAAAAAAAAACTAAGAACAATATTAGAAACGGTGAACAAAGACAGGAACAATGTATAGCACATAAGACTTAGGGAACATACTGCTGCCATGTAGTGTAAACCGTAAAGGTTCAACCACCGAAAATAAACGAGATCAGATTTAAGCGCTGACAAGTGGGAATGCTAGATAACGAATGTCCATCATTTCAAATCACGCAAGACGTAGCAGTATTGTACCTCAGCCTTAATTGGCATTTGTTTTGTTATCATCATCGTCCACGATTTGGAAGTCTGCTACATATAATTTTGGGTCAACAGCTTTCGGGATCGGCTCAATCTGAGTACGCAGCTCCTGTTCAATACGTCGCAGTGTGTGACGATCTTCATACGTGATCAAATTAATAGCAACACCAAGGTGGCCAAATCTTCCCGACCTGGAACGAAAAGTGCACAGATATAACCAAATTTGAAATAACAGCTTGAAACGACATTACCGGCCAATTCTATGAAGATATGTTTCAGCATTTCGAGGAAAATCGAAGTTAATCACAACATTTACAGCTTGTATGTCGATACCTAGAATGATAGTGAGTTGTAACAGCACAACCGCTGAAAGTAACATTTTATTTGTCTTGGAAACGGTAACTTCACAAAAAGAATTTTTAAATATCCACATATAAATAAGAGAATATCAGGCTTTCTAAACATATTCGTATTCTGCTTAACTTTGCCTCAAAGTATATTTAATTATTCGACGCAAATGATATACACTGAACAGCGCACACTGCTCGTTATGTCCACCCAATCATCAACAGTCTTTGCAGCTTAACGAACAAACTCGTCCAAAAAGCAGTTCTTACAAACTACTGAATAAGTGTTATAGTTTTTTCGAGTGACCCTTTGCACCACCACGACTGCAGTAGGAATCTACCGATTAGATATTAAAACTGTGGCAAGAAACTACACCGCAAGATTAACACCCAAAAGTAAACCTGTTGCAAACAAAGAATGTGGTTCAAAATGTCCCTGAACGTATATAATGCTGAGATATTTGCAAAACTCCGGGCCGCAGGTGTATGCGGTCCGGAGTTTTGCAAATATCTTAGCATTATATACGAGTTATATTTCACAACATACCCTGCCATTAAAAAGAAAAAGGCAGTAAATAAAAGGGTTAAGATTGTATCCCTGAACGTGTTAAAACAATCACCTACCACGAGTAAGCAGATCCGAGCACACTAAATTTCGGCAATTTCCTTGACGGAAGTCGTGAAACACACGATTTCTGTGGTTCTGTGCCATCTTAGAGTGAATGTAATAGCAGGAGTATCCTATTTCTGTAATCTTCTTTGCAAGGAGTTCCACTCGTTGAGTAGAGTTGCAAAATATGATCGACTGGTTAATTTGTAGCTGAATATACAGTGAAACTACGTAATCATCTCAAAAAAAAAAACGGCAGTGAATTCTATGAATGCCATTCTCACAACGTTTAAACTGTAGAAAAATCAACTCAAACGAATTACCTTACGGAATAGGGTATTAAGGCAGTGTACTTTTTGTTTTTCCTGTACATACGCGTAATACTGAGTGACACCAAGGAGCGTGAGTTCCTTAAAAATGTAGACACAAAAAGTTGTCAGCTTTAAAACTAAAAGAAATCGCAGACAAAATTAAAACACACTTCCATAAGGTTGATTTCATAAGGTTTTCGCATGTGCTTCTGCATGAACTCGGTAACCGTCATCGGGAACGTGGCAGAGTAGAGCATAATCTGACGCTCCTTAGGCAGGAAAGAGATCAGCCGATCCAGAATTCCCTAAACGACAGAGTTAGCAAAACAGTACAATCACAAACGTTGGTCTTGCACAACTGCCGTTGAAATGCATCGAGGTTCCAAGGAATCTAACGTCAATCAGAAACATTGTGCTGTACAAAGTGCCAAAGTGTTGATTAGCTAAGTAGACAACACTACAGTAGGGCATAACTAGAGGTTATAAAAGCTCTAACTCTTCATGAAGTGAACTTTTTTGAGCTTTATGAAGTGCAATACGGTAGCGTGCTACAATTCGATGTCAATTGGTGTCAGCGCTGCGTGTCACGCCGTTAAAGTAGTAAAAGCCATTCGTTATTTAATTAGCAGGCGACGAAACTGGTGTTCGACAACTTTCAATAATTAATCGATAGCAACAGCAACTCAGAAACAAACGACTTGACAGATTTCGCTTTACTACAATAAGAGTACATATAACTGGTACATATAACTGTACAAAGTATTCCTATAATCCTAAGCTCTTCCAGCACAAAAACTTTTGAAGTCTGAAACGAAACATGAGTGTTTCAAATTTCCCGCGTAAGTGTGACAGCCGCAAGAACCAACCATGTAATACTTTTGTATTTGTATCTATGAGTTCAATGTTACCTCAGATTGTTACTCATTTGGTAGCAGAGAAAAAAAACACTCAAAAGTTACCTGAAAATCCTGGCTGAGGAGCTTGTCAGCCTCGTCCAGCACGAGCATTTTACAGTTCGACATGTCAGCTACTCCCTTTTCCATCAAGTCGAGAATACGACCAGGTGTTGCAATCACCATGTGTACCGATCCATTTAAACGCATGATGTCATCCCGTAGATCCGTCCCTCCAGTAGTCACCATAATCTCAAAATAAAAGCATACAGAAGAAAATTTATGCACCTTATTAGAACACTCACCTTTAGTTTAATGTGCTTTGACAATTCAACACATATCTGCGAAGTTTGAAGTGCTAGCTCCCGAGTCGGAACAATAACAAGCGCTTGGATTTTCTTTAACCCAGGATTGATTTTTTCGATTACTGGGATACAGTAAGCACCAGTTTTCCCAGTACCATTTTTCGCACGGGCGAGAATATCCTGACCTAGAAAACACTTGTCATCCGATTGAAGAGGCTTCACACGGGACCTAGAGAATGTGATTAAGCTATACACTTTCCCAAAGCTTCAATCATTATCTGTTTACCAATTTTTGTTTAGACAACTTCTATGTCCCCTGATTTTTTCCAAATTCATCGACACAGCGATTATATAGAGACCTCTGTGTGCTCGCAAATGATGGCTGTTTTCGAAAATATTTCAAAGGGTAAACACAAACCTAAATTTTTGAATATTTTCTTAAAAACGACCACTATAGCAGAGCTATATGCAAGCTATAACACATCTCACAACAATTAATTCACTGGAAAACATTCCATAATGTCACGTTTTCAACGCTTATCTGGCTTGTGAAGTCACCACAATTTACCGCCTGAAGTGAGCAGCGAGAAACGAGCAGATTTTTTCAACAGCATGGAGGACGTGGTAAAGAAGACGAAGAAACAACCAACCTTGTGCACACCTTTAACCTCTCGCTTACTGCCCCTTAAGGTACGCGCTATAAACCTGGTAGTTACGTACGGAGATGCTAAGAGTACACCACATCTCGTCAGTGATGAAAAAGAACCAAAGTCCCGATCTACGTGTTACCAAAGATCGGAAAATCAAATGAGTCAGGCACGTTTCGGAAGAGATGGAGGGATTGCAGACTTCTCTGCCCACTGCGTTACACTAGCCCTTAATGCACCTAAACGAAAACCAATAGACAAGATCCGCTAGTGATTGGATTCTATACGATGCCGAGCGCAGACCAGGTCGACCCCGAACTCGATAGTCAAAAACCTTTACATGGACAGATGGTATAGGTGATGTTACATTGTTTCACATTTCTACAGGTATAACAAACATTTTCGTTGGTTGTTTCGCAGTAGATCACCTTTGTATTGGTCGGCACTTATACTTCTATTAACGAGTGCGTATACGTTGCAAACATGCTTACATGCGACGATGAGCACCACCGATTCTGAGAAATTGAACATTCTGCCGTCTGCAAAAATGTGACTACGTAAAGGAAATTACTTGTTTTTCAGAAAGGAAAATACCCGCCGTTGGAACACTGAAATTGTCCAATTCTATGTGCCATACACATGTCGACCACAACCTCGTAAATCAAGGTTAGTGCCTTCTCCAGCTCTTTTTTGCCAAAATTCCACACTGAATGTGATCACCGCCATATCCACGAGAAAAATCGAGTCAGATTTAAGTTTGGCAAAACTCCCGCTATAATAAAAAAAAAAAGACTGCATAATGAGATTTTGGAAGAAACTCCTTCTACGAATGGAAGATTAAGGAAGATTCGGCTGACAAATACGTGACTTGTTGAATGGCACAAAAGTTGCGTAGAACATATCCAATATTTCAGTGAAGAATTACGAATCACATCTTAATTGCCAATAAGAAATTACACGAGAAGAAAACAAAACTGGTGCTTGGTCATGATGCAATACACTCAGTATGGCTGGTGATAAATACAACTTGTAGAACACCTTTGTAAGGGAGTTCTAATTGGCTACAGCAGGAAATAAAGTTGCTGGAAGCATCTTGAGACTTCCACTCAAATTTTTCTCCGTTTCCTAATGAAGAACTTCCCACAATGTCTTTGTGATAAATAGACGTAAAGTAGAAACTGTTTCCTCAGCTATTACATAAACTGCTCAGCTAGTTTTCTCTAGAAGCTTTTCACGACCCTATTTCGCATACCAATGAGCTTGGATGAAATTCAATCACTTGGGCAAGCAGAATTCTTGAAAGTGCTCTGCTAAATGGACCAAAACTGAGGCTATGGCCATAGATGCGTGTTAGGAATACAACAATGCAAACATTGCTCTAAACTGTATTTGTCGACAATGAAAGGGCGTTCAACAGCGTCCAAACGAATGCGACCATATCAACGGGAGCCTACCAATACAGAGGTGCATCGAATACAAGACCTCTTATTGTTATAACAAGGGACAATCCAAATGTATATATACAGAGCTTATGTCAACCCTCTACCACAAGAATGAGAAAATACGGCCGAATAACGAGGACCACCTTGCTACAGCTGATCACCAGCGCATCGTTGTATACTGACGTTCGAATTTGACAAAAGCAGTATTTACGGAACTAAAAGAAATCCTACCAAATTCCTGCTCTGCTGACGTCTTATTCTCAAGGAAGAGGAATATAGCTGAGACAACGCTTATATAGCATAACGAAACCAAACGTGTAGGATTGAATACAAACCGGAGGAGAGTTCAGTTTAGGAAAAACCCATGATAAGAAACAAGTTAATTTCAACGGTTGTTTTATTAGACGTTCCATATCCTACTCAGGGCGTTCAATGAACATGGAAGATGACACCAAGTTGCGCAGATAGTACCATATGAAGATGGGAAGTGAGACTGTTGTGTAGGAAAACGGCTATTGAATTAATGAACTTAAAATTTCATGCACACCTTGTTGACTCCATGCTCAGTTCAGATACGAACTGAACTTCCCACCATGTCGAAAATTCACTCCCGAAATACAATCGGCTCACACATCCTCTAACTGCGATTCATCGTTCCAGAGCATCGAAAGCTAACGAATCCTCGAGGTCTACACTTCGAAACGTAAAGAGAATGAATCTGTCATGTAATGGAAATAGTTCACGATAGTTGGATCATAAGAATGGTAGAACAGACCATATGAGAATGAAAGTGTCCTCTACGACAACCTACAAGATGAGTACGCATCGTTGTGACCAAAGTCAACACCCTATATTCGAAACTGCAAATTATTCAGGGACAACGGAGCAGTGCAGATACACGACCACGCTCGAACCAAACCACCGCTATGGACGACGATCGCCAGGAAACTAAAGCAATTGAAAACATGCTAGGGTCCACATGCCTGGACGTCTAGCATTCCAGCAGACAAGTAGGTGGAAACGACATCTGGATACAATATTTCACAGTTACTCGTCGTTGCGGTAAATAGATTTTGGGCCTGAGTCTCACAGCTTTGCTTAGGGAAAAGGGAAAGACTCACCATGTATGCGAGCGACCCTCAGCAAACAAAAGAAACATTAAAGCTAAAGCAAAATGTAATGTTTTATACGATGATACAATCATAACACGCGACACTGAACGAACCCTCACTGTTATTAGGTTAGCGTGAAGAGAGCTAAAAATATACATGAAATGGTAGAAGGTGTATCCCACCAATCTCATTTAGTCACAACGAGGGACACAAGTTTAAGTTACTCACTCTCAAGGAAAACGATCCTATACCAACAATGTATTAAAGCACATGTTTTAGATGTTAGTATGGAACCACCTTGGATGGAAAACCCACACAAATTGAAACCATTTCTTCTTCACCCAATGTTAATTACCAACATATCATCAAGATGTCGAAGAAGATGTATAACAATACCTGTTGGTACTCACCTGACAACGCAACGCCGATGGAAGCCTCCTGAATTGGACTCGGTTTCTCCCATCCTTTCTCAAAAATACCCATCAGCAAGTCACGACTCAGACAGAAGTCTTCGAATTCCACGCCTTTCGTATCGGTAACATCCTAGAAATAGCTAATCTTATTTAAAGCGGGTAGCAATGACAAATCTTTCCCAGTAGTCCGTATGACTTACTGCCGTCTTAAAGCGCTTGTCCTTAGCGGGAAGCACAAGCCCGGATTTCCAGTTCTCGTCGGTCGTTACGGCGACTTTCGTATCACCTGCGCTCATGATGATGTTCAGATCCAACTAACACACGTGATGAAATGCACGATATGACAAAATGTGTGCTGATTTTATCTGGAAGCACACGATTTAGGCAACCAGGAAGCAGCACAGAGCATTGAAGCGATGAACACAGAAAATGAATGACAAGAAAGACCGTACACGTGCAGTCATGCACTCCACGTCAACATCATAATGTGATTTCCCATTCCCGAACAGTCCACCAAGAATCAAACGTCATAAAACGCTGTTTTTAAGCACACATACTATATCAATGGTGGGGTCGATACCAATCTGTCGGCGTTTAGGGTACGACTGATGAGATTTCACAACGATACGGAGGTCAAGCGAAACGGAACGTCCCCTACGGGACCACGACGACACGGACATGCCACCGACTGCCACTCGGGACGAGTGGCGCGCCGAACGGTCCGGCTAGGCGGGGCTGGGCGCGCGAAGCGCTTGCGCTTGCCGGGTGTTGAATACTCAGCCAATGGTCACATCCGTTATGCCGCGAATTTCAAATCGCTACCGATGCGCTCTCGTCTCCAGCCAGCTACGTCTGTACTGACGGAGTTCTTGCGTAGTACTTCCTAGGAGTGCGTTATTGCTCGAAGATTACGGAACCGTAGAGCGACGTCTTATGCTAGAATTTGATGCTTACTGTCGCCTACCATAAAGTTATGGTCATACGCGCTCTGGTTTCCCTGCAGCCTTATAGATATTCGGTACTATTAAACCATGGATAGAAAAAGGCTACACAGAAAACTCTTCGAATCATGAAATGGCTTCAAAGAAAAGACATGACAGATTCCATGGTATACAACAGTGAAAACAACATGTTGCGAGGTCATGTAGGTAAGTATGATCACGACGTTAGGCATAACAATACCCGAAACGCCTTAGATTTTGACAAGAAACAACATCGCTCACAAATCGGGCTTCTATTTTTGAACGTTCGAACCTGCATTGACGAATTAGTACTAGTTTACATTAATGACCCATACATTGCACATACAGGACGCGTGTGGCTCAGTGGTCGGAGGTGCCTTGCAACACACACGTGGAATCGATCGCCGCTAACACACGTGATGCATTCGGAAAATTGGTGCCAGACCTGTCTGGGAGGATAGCAGCACTGGCTCGATACATCGGTTAGCCGTGCCGAGTTATTGTGGAGGTTCAATATCTATTCAATGACCTCTAAACGATGCGTAGTGAAGCCGAATGCATGGCTCATCCCTTAGGGATTTATCAATACCGACAGCTTTATTCATTTTATCCTTTTACATTGCACATAACTCCCAACGGTTTACCGCCTCATCGTGACTAGGTGTTCCTAGGTGTCGAGATGCCATTTACAGTTTGAGGATTCATCCACCTGGCAAGGTCTCCTAAGATACGGAATCCGATGTTTCCATCAAGAAACCCAACTAAGCATAAACCAACACCAGGATCCGCCACCATCCTGGTACGAAACTAGTCGCATGGTGCAAATATCCATCTGATCCGACTGCCTGTGGAGGTGACGACCTGGAACAGATTTTGGTCTGGCTGATCTCGGTATTCCAGGAAATCACCATGGCAAACCAGCAAAACTCCGAAACAAGGAAAATTTTTCTGGGGTCCGCACAAGTAATGAGGACGGACCATGTAAGCTTCAAGCAAGAAAACATTGCACGTACAGCTGCATGTGTACAGAGTATTTCAATTTCTCGAAATCCTACAGCGACATTCCAGGGCTACTATATCCGTCGCTGTTGAAACCAGTGCCCTTCTATGGAGGGAGATGTACAATTACGTAATTGTATCGTTGTAGGAACGTTGACATATCGCAACCACATAGCAGTGGACTGAGACCGTTTGTCACTGTCAAAGGCTAACTACACCATGCTGGCTCGACGTGTATTCAAACGTTGGCACGGGATAAACAAGTTAGACATATCCTGTGATGAATGTGTTCGTACGATCACTTGAACGTCCAATACACGGCTAATCCGATATCATAAAACTTGGCTGAAAACCCACGGATTTCCCTTATTGCCTATCGGATAAAAAAAAGGATAAAGCACTCGGCGTTGATCAAGGTATGCGCCATGCATTCGACTACATTAAACATCGTTTGGAGGTGACTGAATGCACATCTGGCCCTTAAAATGACTCACAGTGGCCTACCGATGTGTCGAGACAGTGCTGCCATCTCTCAGACAAGTCTGGTACCAGAATGTCAACTCTGGAGAGATGGAAAGCTTGGTGGACCTGGAGGTCCGGATCAGTCCCATGTGTATTGCATGGTGCCTCCGATTACTGCACTACGCCCGCCCCCTCGGAAATGACCAATAAACCTTACTTTTTGGTGACCCGAGACAAATATAAAGCTTCACATAACACCAATGTAACACGACACCTTCACATTAGAATGCAGCTAGTCAAATTAGAGATATCGAACGACCAAATACATCGATCAGTAGACTTTTACACAGTAACCAACAAGTATGTGGATTTTCATCCTAAGCCTGATCAAGACTTGCAAACCGCTTTAGATTTCGATGCTTCTCTGTTCTTCCTCTTAATTTTAATTACAATGAAATCCTGAAGGTAATTACAGTATAGATCACAATAATCGTGGTACGTAAACAGCAAAAAAATAAATCAGCGACACGTATACAAAACATAATTGGAATGACGCCGAGCAGTACTTTTGCAGAACGCAAAAATGTAAAAAAATAATTACTTTAATATCTTGTACTTTCAGTAACAGCGACATAAATGCTGTTATAGAAATGTAGAAGGAAATCAGGAGATTGAGGTGGAGATTACTGCATTTCAACGAGAACAAAAGTTGTGCTCGTAGGGCTGCTTGTTACTATGTGCAAATAAAACCCGTTGTGGCGTTTCAGAATCAATTCGTTCTTTGCCCTGGTACCTGTAAACGCTCAATGTAAGAACGAAAAAATTTATTCTCTAAAGAGAAGGTGCATGACTTGCTTCGAATATGGTTCTACTGAGCTCGTCATCGGTGTCGTCAACATCAACATCAGCACCATGAACCAAACTGTTCCCCATCTTCTGTTCCCGTTCAGTTTTCAATTCAGCCAATGCATTGAAAAAGGCCCGTTTAACACCTGGAGTTGAGATCGCCGCGCTCGATAGCATTTCCCTTAAATGGAACATGCATATGATGTGAAACAAAGATGGAAAACTGATAGATTAATTACACGAATCACTGTGAAGATTAATTACAGGAATCACTGCCATCACAACAACTGTTGCCGTGGAAACATTTCAATAAAAAAACAGCAATCTTCTTTACCATCCTCGAAGGAATGAATGTGACTGGTGTGGGGAGGTTCTAGCAACAAATAACTATATGGGAATATTCAGCATTTTATATAAAAGCAAAGCCATGGAGAATCATCACAGGGAGGACAGAAGACGACAGGTAATGAGAAGGTACTCGAACACTCACAAGAACCCTACCACCTCCATCTAATTTTCCAGCTACATAGTTAAATGACGGGTAACGCGAAGTCAAATAACCAGAGATTTTTGTATTGGCAATAAAATAGAATTTTTTCTGGTTTTTCTGTTTTCAACTGGTATTATGAAAGATAATTAAGAATGGGAAAGTTACTTCGATCCATTTCTGTGTTTGGACTGACACGATTATATGCTTACTGTTTATTCACAACAGGCTTTACTCTCTTATGTTCAGAAGATCGCACTGGGCTACACCTCAACCATAGTGTATTTGTTTGTTATGTTTCCAAAGGGTTATCAATGTCACCGAAAATATTTGTATTCGGAGCTTATATCCATCTCAAAGACAGTACGTAAATGTTGTTGCACAGGATACTTCATTATACATGAATGAAGGGGGAAGCTTGTAATACTACCTAGATTATCCAGAGAACAATGAGAAGAACAATTCACTGTACTACTTTACTTACTTGGATACTTGGATGCTTGGATATGGCCCATCCATATTAGTTGTACGGACCCCGGCAAAATTTCCACTTTTCGGAGTTTTGCTGGTTTTGCCATTGTGATTCTCTGGAGTCCAAAGACCAGCCTAGCCAAAGTCTGCCCCTGGTAGTCGCCACCACAAGCAGTCGCCACCCTTGTGAATCAGAGAAAGACTTGTCAACATGTGGCCAATTTTATACTAGAGCGAAGGTTGGTCCTAGTACTGGTTTACTCTTAGCTGGGCTTCCTTATGAAAACGCCAGACTCCTCAATTTGAAAGGATGAATCCTTCCGCTCTATATCGCAACCCGACACACGGCACTACTCCATGCCACGATGACAGAGTAAAAGTAGGGAGGATACAAAAAACAGAAAAAGAAGGCAAATTGCCGGTGAATTCCCATGATTTCAGCGTTGTGAATGAAAATCACGCCTTCAGAAGAACCAAATGATTTCGTGAAACACAGGTACAAAAAAACGGTAACGTTGATGACGGCCCTATTGTGCTAGATAGAGAGCTCACCGTAGAATCCGATTTTCTTGCAAAAGTTGAGAAAGTTGTTGAAGATTGTTAGAAGCCGAGTCCTCGCACTGCTTCATGAAATCCGATATATCAGCAATAAGCCTCCTAAACATGACTTCCATTTGAAATCTGATGAGTCGTATGAAATACTAATGAGGAAGCGGATACCTAAACCGTTCCTTTTCCTTTGCGTCGTCATCGACATTCTCAAAAAAGATCGTAGTCATATCTTTGAACAAGGGTTGCTTCGACATCCTATGAACATTCAAACAAATGTGATGTTCGCCCTTTAGATGGCAAACTTTTATTCATTGGTGCGAAAAACAACACACAATATAAATCTAATAAGAAACAAGAAGCCAACCTCTCTAACCTTGCCATAACATTTCGATGTCTTGCCATCACTATCGCCAAAGTTTCCAAAGACTCATCGATAGCCTCTCGAAGATTTCTATTTTCTTCCTAGGAGACCAGTAGTAATCAACTTGTTTAAATTTTTGAGCCTATGCGAGGCTGACAAATTGGTTTTATCGTTTACGTTTCGACGTCTTCGTCTTCATCAGAGCCGATGATTCGAGTCGGTGGTCCATAGTTTAGTAGTTATTTAGTTTAGCTTTTAGACGAGCAACTGCGGACCGTCGACTGGGATCGTCGGCTCTGATGAAAACGAAGACGTCAACATGTTAGCCAAATAAAACTAATTTGTCAACCTCGTGTGTATAAACGGTGTAAATCTCAATCTCAACAGTATAAACAAGTTGAATATTTACTACCGAAATTAGATGATTAGTTTGAAAATTACAAATACTTGTATACTTCGATACTTGGACGGCCCGTCTTCACTAGTTGCGCGGGCCCCAGCATAATCCCCATTTCTTCGCTGTTTTGCTAGTTTAGCCATTGTGGTTCCCTGGAATCCCGAGGTCAGGCAGGCCAAAGTTTGCCCCAGGTCGTCACTACTGCAGGCAGTCGTCGCGCTTGGGGATTGGAGAGAGATTTGCCATCACGCGACTAGTTTGGTACCGGGATTGTGGTGGATCCTAGCTGGCCTTCTAATGGAAACGCCGGACTCTCTCTCAGCTTGGGAAGCCCTGCTGGGAGGATGAATCCCGCCACTGTTCATTGCAGTCCGACATCCTGGAACACCATGCTTATACGCCAAGGTGTCATATAATGAAAAACATGATGGAACAAGACATTGAACCAACGTGAAAAGCCAGAATCTGCCTGTTCTCTCGTTGCAGTTCTTCCAGTAGTACGGCTCTTCTAGACCCGTTGACGGTATAGGCATTGACAGCATCCATGCTCTGTTGGTACTCTCGAATGCATGCCATTTTCTCACTTACAGTGTTCACACGGCGAATCATTTCATCAATACGCCTTTCCCCTGAAGGAAAGATCGAAGACAAACAGAATCTGTGCTTCTACGGAAAATCTCTACAGCGATTACAGTTATGTTTGTATATGATTACGATGAAATAACTACTGACTAGAACTAAATAGACGAAGTTACTTACCACTGCTTATCTGAATCATCAGCTCTTTGGTATCTCGGACAACACACTCAATCTCAGCATTCGGCATAATCCTGAAACTTGAGAAACACAACAATTCTCAAGGCCAGTCTCAAAACTTTACAGAGTAGTTACGAAACCTTCTTCTGGAAGCTATGAAGACAACAATTAGCAACAAATGTGTCACAGAAGGCCTGATGAACGTATAGGCTACTCAGCTACGAGTATATACAGCTTAACGAGTAGTATGCTGCATTCAATTCAGGTGAAAATCATGCAATTCGAGACATTCAGCTGAAACTCCTGCCAAAACCCCTCGTCATCCAAAGCAATATCAGCACTGCCATAAAACCATATTACTTTTTTGAGGTTTACAAATAGATAGACGGCTTTTGAGAGGGGCTACATGCATCCTAGTGCGAATAGAATGGAATAGGTCATAATTTTTAATTAAACATTGTAGTATAACAACCAACCTGAATAACAAACTAGGAATGCGCTAGCCTCACCACAGAGTAGGAAGAGCGTCCTCTCGGATAGTCCGCAATTTCCCGTCTCTCAGTGGTTGTTTCCACTAGTCGACTGGTTGAATCACGCCATCTTTGACATTGACGGTTGGAAGGAGGTTACTATGTATCATAGGGCGTTTCCTTGTGAACAGAATCTAGCCCTGGTCCACTGCATCCGCTTGTTTGATATCTCGTATGCTGTGTAACAAATGCGCATCCATCTTTTGGTAAGACTGTTCTGGAGGAAGAATCTCATATGTCTGGCGGTTGCACATATCTACTTATGTTCATACTGAATGGATGGGTAACTATCATATCCAGAGAATTTAAAGACCCTGTCATAAGTACAATTCTACGACAACTATGAGGTTGTAGTGGAAACCTTCCAGTGAGTGATCTAATTAAAGCTGTTGCAAAGATGGCCGATTGAACACAACAAATAATCTATCTGATCCTAAAAACTTACACGGGAACTAGTGAAGTACATTATATCCTGATTGCGATACTTCGCGGATGCGGAAACTTGGATAAGAAAAAAAGGCTATGGTATGACTATTGAACAAAAGTAGGGAGTGTGTAGCCCAGTGGTCGGAGGCGCCCTGCAATACACATGAGATCGACCCTTGCTCCCGCTCACCAAGCCTTTCATTCCTACGGGGTCAGCAAATTGCTACCAGACTTGTCTGGGAGGACAGTACTGATTCGATATATCGGTGGATCACCGCGAGTTATTGTAAAGGTTAGATATGCATTCAATCACCTCCAACGAGCGAAGTCGAATGCATGATGCATCCCTCATGGATTGATCAACGCCGAAAGCTTTATCCTTTTATCCTTTTAGTGAAGAAGAATACGACTGTCACTCAATCTTGTACAACAACAACTCCATTTGTAAACATTTAGCAACCATAAGAAAAATCAACAACATAACAACTTAAACAACAACAACAACCGCTTCCATGAATTTAAGAGCAATAAGGTACGATATTTCATATGGCGGGTAACTGACAACAATATCAAAGCAAAACCAATCAATTCTTTTTCTTCTTCCCGCGTTCCCACAACTCTTTGTTCCATTCGCCCTGTTGTGCCTGCAATTCACCTATTATACGCTTTGTCTTTTGTCGTCTGTCTCGATCCTTGGCCACGATCTCCCTTCTCCTCTTCCTGACACAGAAACAATTTAAGAAATTTAAACAACACTACCATGAATTCAATCAAAATTATGCTGAGATGCCTGCAAAACTCTGGACCGCAGGTGTCTGCGGTGAGGATTGAACACGCTGCTAACCTTTCCGGGGGCTAACGCGTTCACCGCCACGCCATGCATGTCCTTCGTTTTGCCTACCTATCCACTATGAATGTGCATAAGCAACAACCATACCTGCTTAAGAAAGAGGCGTCCTTACGAAGTTCTTTAATTGCACCACGTGTCTCTTTCTTTACTAAATACTGCAACTTTTGTTTTTCAGCATGGACTCCTTTACGCCTTTGATCGCGACTCATACGCGGCCTTTCAGGATCAAAGTGCACCTCGAACCTCGGTTCTAGCATTTTTAACATACTGAAAGAAATATGGTCAGAAATTTAAAATTGGAATTTGATGACACAGAAGTGACTGATGGGGTTTCAACTGAAGCCAACACATATTATGTTTAAATAATGAACCCCTATAAGTTTTTATTTACCAACCTCGTGTTTGCTTAATCATTAAAAAAGTTGTGTACCTCTTTTCAGTGACAACTCTACTCATTTGAGTGACTCGAGATCGTACTTTGCATTCCGCCTCCATAGATTGAATCAACGTTTCTATTTCTTCCGCCACCATTGAAGGTAATCGGCTAAGAGGAATCCGTTTTAAGAGAACCAAGAATGGTCTGAAAGTATGCTATTATTTACAATATATGAAAAAGACATATGATAAGCACGTGGAAATCCTTCAAACCAATTATAATTAGGAAACCTACGTAAAGGTGGTAGTAAACGTATGTTCATGCGCGGAATACAGGATCCTATATTTCTGAATGACAGCGATTAGAGCCCTGAGAACTTGACATCGCTTCATATCGCATTCTTCTATAAGACTGAAAGAGATGTTAAGAGTCGTAACGCTTTAAATCAAGCAAAAATGGAAAATCTTTAAGATACAAAACATAAAGTACATTACTAAACCTCAGAAGAAACCAAAACCTAAATCAAGAGAAATAATTCACGATTATTTCATGAACTGGGAACTTACACGTCCTCATCAGCGAAAACCTCCGAAATCGTCAATGGATCGACATTAGCATCCTTGGCGAGATTCTGTACAAAACCGTAAATGGTTATGAAAACAATATACTAGGCGTTTTCCATTAGCGTTAGAACACTTGAAACCAAACGATGACGCGATAACCGTGGTATAAAGCTCACCTAGTCAGGACGACTAAACGTATGTGTTTATCTACTAAGTCTCTAATCTAAAGTTTGTAGCTTTTTTCAACTTTATTTTCATAAGCAAGAAGAAAGGATATCAACCTCTTCCACATAGAGCATCTGTTTGTGAGGTAATGAAATTGGAAACACTACAGTTGGAGCACGTTCCTGCTCTCCATTCTCTACAGCCATAAGCAGCGCACCTTGACAGAAGGCAATCGCTTCTGGTACTAAGCTGAAACCGCCGCATTAACATTTGATACAACTGTACCAACAAACATACCGTACAAATTACCGTTTGGTTTCTTCAACAAAGTCGCTAATGATAGTGACAAGAAGAATTTGCCGCGCTAGAACCGTTAAGTTTATCACATGAGACTTTGCAAGTGTCATAGCAGCTAAGGCCAGAGCTGGAGAGCAAACAGGATGCCAACCGTCGTTTACGGGATACAATGCTGCTACAAGTCTGTAAACGAGTTTACGAGGAAAATTTCGCTACAAAAGATACGAAAATATTACGAAGCATAGGAGTGGATACAACATCTCATAACTATGGGCCCCGTTGAGTAGAAAACTAGCTGAGAAAAACGCAGAGAAAGGGCCTCCGTGGTGCAGTGTGTAATACGCGAACTCCCAGAAAGGGTTATTCGTGGTTCGGTCTGGCCCGGGGCCCAAGTATTGTGAATACCTCAGCATCGTTGCATTTGAATTTCACATCATACGCTGCCGTGAAAAATTATAAAAAAAATTTTAAGTAAAAAACGTTTGGGGAACTAGGCTTTTTTGTTTACCTCAACAAAGCTACCATGGAGAAAGAAATCGGTGCTTTCAAGTTTCTTAGTCGTTTCTTCCAGCACTGACGAATCAACGCACGAATACATCTAGTACTAAACTCCACGTCGAACTAAATACTTATAGAAGCACGACAACTGTTTGTGAAGAGACACTGACGATGAACTTACCTTCATAAGTACGTACATTACGTTGATCAACGAACCCAGCATCTTCAACGAACCACTAGTAAGTGACCCACATGAAGAGCCATCAAAGAAACGCAGTAAGTACAAAAATAACTTAGCAAGGAGCTTCTTATTGCCCTCCGCAAGGCTAGGGTGATAGCACTTTATAAGTCTAGAGAAACATGCGAACGTAAGAGAGTATACAGGATTATGCACAATACAGTGAACTCTTACCTTAGCAGAACAACTTCAAATTTCTCACTAGGATAACTAGATAGCAAATCAACAAGTTGTTCGAAGCTCCTCGGCATTTCAATGATAAAAGGCACTTCCAGGTCCAGAACTCCTAAACAGAGCATACTTTTCGATCCGCAACTTTGAACATCTCACAACACCAGTGTTGTAGATTAATTTTGAAAACTCAGCATACCGACTGAGCGAAATTTGTCACTGGATCCAAATTCCTTCATTTCTCCCTTTGAGAGAGGCGGACCAGAACATTTCGTTCCTACTCCATCTTTGTTCTTTCTCTCTTCTTCGTCATATTCCTTCTCTTCTCCATCCTTACAACTAGCGTTACCTTCACCACCTATCGCCTCTTGTCTCCCTCTCAGACAACTGCTTGATTTCGATAAAACGTTAGATTCGTCGCTCTCTGAAACTAGACTCGTTGGGCTACATCTTCAGCGACATATTGGAACGTTCTTCTCTCATTTTTTCAGAACGGTAGTTATCTAGGAAGTACACTTGTCCTGAAGGATCACTACATTCACATTATCTTAGCATCCATAGCTTCAGTCCTACTTATCACGCACGCTCTTATGTTACGTACAAACAACAATATTACTGCAGATAAACCTCACTATTAATCTCTTGGATCAGATCATCAAGCTCTTCTTCGTCTTCATCCTGAAGTTCTTCATCCAACAATTCCTCATCAGAATCAAGGAAAATTTTTTGTTTAGATACTCCCTCTACCTTAACCTCACATATATTTAGGAAGAAAAGAACAATAAGGCAAAGATACGTAGTCTTAACACTTACCTTGTCTACGTTCATAAGTTTCCCATGGAAATCGAAGCGTACTTCAAACCCACTGGTTTTTTCTCTATTCTCCAACTTTCCAGTAACTTCTTCCACATCAGCAGAAATATGACCATGCTTGTTCTTCTGCGAAAAAGCAGATGACAGAACGCACACAATTAGTATGGCTCCAACAATCGCACCTCTGAGTTCATCCTAGCAATTCTGAGGGATTCCAATTCCTCCAACTGCAAGCGCTCATCCAGAGCTAACTCCTCTGCTGTTTTCGTACGTTCAGCTGGAGTGGCACGTGCATCCGCATCTAATTTCAGGCTTAAAGCCTTAAAAGACAAGTAACTGAATTGATAAAACGACGTATCTCGTAGAAAACGCTGCCGAACGCAATTTAAAAAACTTTTAGATACATAACGAAAAGGGACGGTACGAACAGCGAATAATCACATACCAGTTTATCGTAGTCGTCCTTATCAACCTTTGCAACTTTTGTCGCTCCTACTGGACGAAAAGAATTCTTAATCTTTTCCAAATTTTTAAGATATTTCGCATCTAACTCTTCGGTGACAGTTTCCTGAACTACTCAAAATTCTCAAGGATCTTGAGAACAAAGTGAATAAAAAGTGCGGCGATAAGTTACCATCTCATCTTTTGCGCTGTGCTTATTCTCTCGGGCTTGCCTAGTTTTCGCAATCAAATCGGCAATTACGTCCTTGCGGTTGGGCTTGAAACCACTATTTGATGGTATATCCAACTCGCCGCCACCGAAATGTGCGACTTTTACCTGTAAAAGAAGTATCAAAATGGAATTTAAATAAATAAAAGGGATAAAGCTCTCAGCGTTGACCAATCCCCGACGGATGCGCCATGCATTCGACTTCACTAAGCATCGTCAGAGGTGGATGAATGCATTACAATGACTCGCGGTGGCCTACCGATGTATCGAACCAGTAATGCTATCGTGTCTGGCACGTATTTGTCGAACGAACCCGGTTGGATGGAGGGCTTGGTGAGCCTGTTGCACGGGGATCGATTCCATGTGTGTTACAGGGCGCCTCCGACCAACGTGCTACACGCCCTCCCTCCCCCCCCCCCCCCCCCCCCCCCCCAAAAAAAAAAAAATGAAATTTATGAATGCAGAATATCAAAATATCACACCACATCAGCGTCAATGTTTCCCGTGTCGTCTTCGTCGTCGGAAGCAACTATCTTGTCGTATTTCTGTATACTAGTTAGTGCTTCACCACCGTGAGTAAGGACCTCTGGAAGAAATCACTGAAGGAAACTCAATTAAAAACGTGAGCGTTAACTTTCTATTTATTGTCTATTGCAATTTTTCACGGCGGGGTATTACATGCGATACAACCACAGTGATGCTGAAATATTTGTGAAACTCCGGACCGCAGGTGTCTGCAATGGGGAACAAACGCGCTGTTACTCCTTCCGGAGGCTAACGCGTTCACCACTACTCCATACAGGTTCTTCGTTTCGCCTGTCTCTCAGGTAGCTTTTTAATGACCATTGTGGTTGAAAGTGCGATGTTATACAGAAGAAAGAAACACACCAGATTGTTCAATATCGTCCGTCAGATTGAACTTACTACTCTTTTTCAAGTGTCTCAAACGTTCAGCCGAAAATCTATAAACTTTAAACTAATAAAAAATATCATGACAAAGTTGGGAACTGTCTGAATGAAAATGAAAACAAATGCACCTCAGAGAAGCTTTTTCTTCACTGGAGATACTCTTGTTTCTTTCACCGATACGTTTGTCAACAATCTATGAAAGAAATACGGTATGAGGACAAGACAAGCACACTTGTTCGTCTACAGGTTAGAAAGCAGCAAATATGCATACCTTATTCACTTTACCTCGACGATCGTACTCAACCCCTAGACTTTTTTGTCGCTGTTCGTAAGCCCGTTTGCGTGACAGCCCGGGATGACCAGCCCCAAGCGATCCTTTCTTTTTTCCCAACACATAAAACAGCACAGTGCTATTTTTTACATTAAAGTTCCACTCAAAGCCGCAAACAGAAAGAGATAAAACAACCTACGTCATGTTTGAGACGGTTGAATTTCAGTTCAAACGGATTTACTTTAGGCAAGGAGCTGGATTTTTTTCCACCCAATGCTGTCTGTCGTTTCTTCTTGACCATATATATATATATCTAAGATAGACAGCCTTAAGGTCCAAAATAAACAAAACACCAGAGCTTTATTAAACAATGCTCAGTGTCTTCACTTCCGACGTGAAATAGGGTCCACTTGGTGCAATGTCAATCAATGCATTTAAATCGACGCTCACAACAAGGTGTGTTGCTACACCGTCTGGGTATGGCGGAAGCTTTTGAACTTCTGTATAGATTGTTTGGCTTCTTTACTGCAGTACTGTGTATCTTGGGAACTGAATCTTGCGTGTTCAATGCCGGCAGAAATAGCAAAATCTTGAGATTTTGATTGGCGTTGGAGAGATATAAGGTATACTATGAAGTATCACTGCGACATTTTGGTTTCGATGCCTTCATTTCTTCGTTGTATCTTCTGCAGTACGCATTCGTAAGAAGCCTTCGAGCTTACATATCCGCCGTGTCAAGATGTCGAAGAGCCGTAAGTGGTGGCGATTGCCAAGCCGTGTTCTTAAGCTCTGAAAGAGAAGCGAACACTGTTCTATGCTAGAATTGTCAAGTTAAGAAGAAGTCTGTTCTCATGTCAAGAAAACCCTGCAACTTTACAAAGTGAATAGCTTCCCACTTTATAAAGTCGTTTCACCTAATGTGAATTAGTTTGCTTTCCCAAGTTTTTGCTGCTGACAACAGTCAAACAGTTCTTTCCCTTGAAAAATGAGTTCACGGTTCTGCATATGTGCATGTGGCGAAGTGTCGAGCCTCGGAGATAGAACTATTCGTTTCCTCCAGAATACGTTCGATCACTTGTGGGTGTTCAGGTGTGTTGGCGCCTGAAGCCAATTTATTGGTTGCAGTCCGTTCCATTTCCATTTCTGAACAGTTGCTTGGAAAGTTGAGAGTTGAAAAGTTTTCATTCTTATTGTTATTGAACACTACATACATGTCCATGAGTCCAGCCGTAAGTGAGCCGAGTGCACTGAACATAGGAGACGATCATTCTCCACAATCCGTGTTCAACACTGCGCCTCTGGTTCGGTCACCTTTAAAGTGTAGTATTTGCTGCAGTCGTTCTCGAATCAGCATGAAGCGTTCCACCTGAAATAAAATCCATAGTTGATTGTAGGAACATGAAAGTGCTGGTGTTGACTACGCTTCCTCTAAAATGTTTTCGTTTTTGGCTTCCATCGTTCCCACTATCATTTGCGGATTTTGGTTCAGTTTGTGGAAGTGTACTCTTCCGGAAGATGGAACGACATGTTTGTTTACTTCCTCTCGAAACTGGTGGTCAGAGCCAACATGAACTCGCTCAGCCATTCTCACTCGTTGGGTACAAGTGCGTTATTTTGTAGAAGGCTCTTCCGAAACAACGTCACCTTAAATGATGCTCATTTCACAGATTCTCATAGTCTAACTAAGAACGGATTTTTGAAAATCTTAACTTCATGACGGTTTACATTTCTTTTTTCCAGATCGTGAAGACAAAGTTGGTCTCTGTTCGTGTTTCTTATTTATCTCAGCACATCTGTCTCTATCATTCCAGCTCTATCTCTCCTCGTCTCTTTCTCTCTCTCTCTTGATCTTCAGACGTAGTTTTCTTCACAATGTTAACTTTTTATTTGTTGTTCTACTATGATTTTTCACCGCAGGGTATGATGTGAAATACAACGACAACGATGCTGAGATGTTTGCAAAACTTGGACCCCACGCCGGATCGAACTACGATTACCCTTCCTTATGGTCGCGTATAACACACTGCATCACGGAGGCCCTTGTTCTGCGTCCCTATGAGCTAGTTTTCTACCTAACGCAGCCATCAGCAATCACCTCTTCTACTAGTAGTTTTCTTCCTCTAGAGGTTCATTGAATTTGTTAAGTCACGTCCATTTATGTTCCATTTTAACTAGTCCTTGGTAACTCTTTTATTCACTGCCTTTTTCTTCTTAATGGCAGGGTATGTTGTGAAATATAACTCGTATGAAATGCTGAGATATTTGCAAAACTCCGGACCACAGGTGTATGCAGTGGGGAACGAACACGCGCTGTTGTCCTTACCGGAGAGCAGCGCACTTCACCACTACACCATCCGGGTCCTCTTTAAATCTCTCCTTCGCTTTGCATGTATCTCAGCTAGTTCTATCGATCTTTTTTTTGTAGTGTAGTGTAGTGACCGTAAGGGGGCGCGTGGAGCAGTACTCGGAGGTGCCCAGCAACACACTTGGAATCGATCCCCACGCCCATGGCCCACTAAGCCTTCCATCCCTCCGGGGTCGGTGAATTGGTACCAGGCTTGTCTGGGAGGGTAGCACCACGAATCGATGAATACGTAGGCCACCGCGAGTCATTATGAAGACCATATGCATTCAACACTTCAACACTCCAACAATGCTTAATGAAGCCGAATGCATGGCGCATCCCTAAGGGATTGATCAACGCAGAGAGCTCTTATATCGCTTGTTGTCGAGTTGGATTTTTATGTACATTTTCCTATGCTATCAAATGTCCTTCAGTGGTTGATGAGTATCAACATGTTGGACCTAGTAATCTCCACACTTCTGGTCGTTTCTGTTTATTGTCTGCATATTCTTTACGGAGTTGATCATCGAGGTTAAACGGAATCGTGCGTAATATGGGGTTATCCGGAAATTCATGTCCGATATTAACCTGTGTATTCAAAGTTACATATCTCAGCTCAGAGTAAAGTGTACTGATCGGAAAAAGCCCATTAAAATCTACACAATTTTGCAAATGGGAAACAAATTTGTTTATACTAGTTGCACAAAATTCTGGGTTTCTGTAGACGGCGAACTCTTTAAAGACAGTTACGTAATCCGCTTGGTTTCTGAAGCATTTATAGTAAAAATTTATGGTGTTGGTGAAGTGATAGACAGTAGACGAAAGGTCTAGCGAATATGTTGGATGAAGTAATCCAGGTCGTTCAACTTCTGCAGCGTTAGTAATGCGACGTTTGACCGCTCATTTTAGTGGAGAAGGATTTGCCTTTTCTCTTGACCAATGCGGATCACAATCGGTGATGTTTCTGGTCTGTTTTTAGGTTTGCTGGGCGCACTTCGCCGTAATCGTTTGACTCGGATTCAGGAAACCGATGAATCAAGCCAGCTGTAGAGCACAAAACTGTCAGCATGATCTTCTTTTGCTGCATTTTTGCCTTTGGAAAGTCCTGCGGAGCTTCATCACGGTTCAACCACGGAGCCGATCGTCGCCGGTTATCATAGGTGATCCATTTCTCGTCGCACTTTACAATACGGTTGAGAAACGGGTCATTCTGGTTGCATAGAAGAAGCACCGACGACATCTTAAAACGCTGATTTTTTTCATTGTCATTCAATTCGTGCCGCACTCATCAAGTTTCTTTGTCTTTAAAATCTTAAAGTGTTCGGAGAAAGTTGATATGCTCACACTAATTTGTACAAGTTCTCGAAGAAGCTGTGCGAGTTGTGCATATGTTCAGTTCCATGAAACTCTTCAATTCATCGTTGCATTGCCGAAGGATGTCTATGATCTTCTGCATGTACTATATCGGAATCGCCACGACGAAGTTTTCCAAGTGAACGTTACAGGGTGTTTTCGTTAACACTTACTTGGTGCCATATTTGGTCAATATTTCGAGGCGCTTGCGCTGCGTACATCTGAGTTTGAATCCGTGTAAAGAAAAATAAAGCTCTCAGCGTTGATCAATCCCTTAGAGATGCGCCATGCATTCGACTTCATTAAGCATCATTTGGATGTCATTGAATGCATACGTGGCTATTACAGTGACTCGCGGTGGCCTGCCCTGGTATCGAGTCAGTGCTACTATCCTCCTAGACAAGTCTGGTACCAATTTGCCGACCCCAGAAGGCTGTAAGGCTTGGTGGGCCATGGTCATGAGAATCGAATCCACGTGTGTGTTGCAGAGCACCTCCGACCACTGCGCCACACGCGCCAACGTAAACTATCCAAGTATGAATCCGTAGTTTTGTCGAAATTTCTGTTTTGACAGCTGAAGTTCTGACTTTGAAATTTTGTCAGAAGCATAGTTTTTATTATAATTAAATCGTAGAGAATGAAATTGCTTAAAATGAGCTTTGCATCCATAATAGCACAGCATCCGACGAAGTTGCTAAAACATACAAGAGGGATGAATTTATAAATCGGACATCGATGTCCGAGCAACCCCTACTAACACGAACAGGACTATTGAGGAACCAGGAGTAAGGAATTCGCTCCATACGAGGAATTCGATGCTGTCGAAGCCGGAGCCAGTAGAAAGTTTTTTTTAGGCAAGTCGAAGAAAATAAGCTTACATTTACTTGAAAAGGGGTAGAAGGTAACGTCATACAGATTAACTAAACAATGCCTTGCGCGTTTTCCTGTTTAACTGCTTGTTATCAACTTATCGACTCCGACAAGTTCAGTGGAGCCTATGTTCTATCTTTTCGTGGGCCACAGCTGCCTTTAGATTCTGTACGAATACCAAGACCACACTGTCCGTCAATGATCTCAACTAGGAAACATGATAATGCGGGAGGAACATCGAACTTCATCTATTGTTATGAAACACCACATCCCCAATACCACCTTCCAGATAGATCGGAAATCTAGCGTTCATCTTCAGCTTACTGAAGTGCGGTCTCCGTTCCTGAGGCCAACTTTAAGATTGGAATAAACTGCCACCAGAGATGGGCGCGGACCCGTTCCTGTTCATTCTAGTAAGTACCTTCTCGACACTCGTGGTGTTGTTCGCTGTCCTGCTCAGTTCCGGAACTGAGTTCTACACAGAATCTACGTCCAAACTCAATATTCACGACTGGTTCGTTTCAAAGTGTTCGTCCAGCCAATGTTTGATTCTGTGTGAACTATATCATCAGCACCAACATAACGGTGTAGCTAACGACAGTCATCTTTGACAACATCCTTCTCGTTCTAGCCTTGCTTAATGTGCCTATTTTCCAATATATTATTACCTGCGAAGACTAGCTGAGAGAAACGGAGAGCAAGGGCCTCCGTGATGCAGTTTGTAATGCACGAGCCTCCCGAAAGGAAGTCGTGGTTCGGTCCGAGCCGGAATTCAAGTTTCGCGAATATCTCAGCATCGTTGTGGTTGTGATCCACATCATATCCTGCAGTGAAAAATTATAGTGAGCAGGAAATAAGAGGTTAAAATTTCAGCGTCATACAAATAACCGTAGAGAATGGTTCGAACTTTCATTTCTTTTCTTTGTATTCTGCAATACATAACATCACGTGTATTGTTCGGATTCCAGCACTTGCATTGGATTCGTTTTATCTCATCCATATTTCACAAAAATCACCGCATTTTTGCGCGTGCACTTGGCTGCTGCTTGAGAATTTTTGGTGTTCTTTATGAGTGTGGGTTGAATACTGGTTGAATCAATTCTCCATGGAATCGTTGGACAACTGTGTCAGTGCGTTCCCAAATCTTCATCGCAGGTAGTGTCCAGCTTTTGCGGATTGGAAGGAGCGAGCAGATTCCAGACGGCTCTGGTACCAATTTTCTGACACCGAAGAGAAAGGTGGCTTAGCTCCGAGACGGGATCGAAGCATGACATTGCAGCACAGATCACACCCTTACACCCTTGGGTGAGAGCCGATATTACCTATAGAATAAATACCTGACTGAGGGAAAGTAAGGGGCTCGATTGGTGTGATTGACAGTACGTGAGCCCACGGTAAGGGTAATCACTGGTTCGAATTCCTCCTGAGGTTCCGAGTTTGCTCACATCCCAGCATTCTTGTGGTTACATTTCGCGTCGTACCCTGTCACGAAGAAAGAGTAGGTGAAAAATAAAAGTTAGAACTATACGTATATATATATATATATGTATATATATATATATATATATATATGTATATAGTGTTTATATTCCTAAGTCCACGACTATTTGTCAGAACGTTTCACAATATCTCAATACAACTCGTTCTAGTTATCATGAATCAAAACCATTAAGTGTTATACATTAATGAGGTTAAAGCAACCTCAGAATTGAATAGGACTCACCAATCGATCTCTGACTCCTATGACCTGCTCAAGCATCTATTCTGCTTGTCATATACGATTTACACATGTAATTGCTAAGTCGTTGAAGGATGAAATCAAAACAACTCGAGTGGATGTTGTCTGACATGCGTGGATTTCAGAATCCAGACATAAAACTCGAACAGTACGCGACTTCGCCCGAAATAGCAAGTACGCTTCTTCATATTATTCGTATGTTTATTGAAAAGGGTAGATTTGTTCGAACGTATTTCTTTAGTGGCTATCATAGATAGCATAGATAGACTCGTTGGACTGGACGGACAATTGGTTGCTGACCTTGGTTGCGGATGTGGAATGCTCATGTCCACTGTTGCCTTAGCATACCAACCAACAATGATCATAGGTACATCTTTCTTCACCTTGGTGACACTTTCAACACTAGTAAAGTATTACTAGCTTCCATCCCTAAGATAAACATGTTAAAAGATAAAAGTATGTTAAATTTTATGAACTTTTTGATGAGCTTACACGAGGTTCTTAAACGTCCGTTGATTTTTCACGGCTATGGTTTCGGCTACTTCGCCTTCTCCAGAGCCTAGACATATTGCAATATAGCTTTATTCTCGTTACTCGGTAAGTGTTCCACTTAAAATCTTGATGGAAATCTAATTTAGAAATCAGACCTTAAAAGGATAAAGGATAAAGCCCTCGGTGTTGATCAATCCCTGAGTGATGCGCCATGCACTCCATTTCATGAAGGATCGTTAGAGGTGATTGAATGCATATGCGGCTTTTAGAATGCAGTGGTCAGCCAATGTATCTAGTCAGTGCTACTATCCTCCTAGACAAGTCTAGTACCAATCGCCGACCTCAGAAGGATGCAAGGATTGGTGAGCCTTGGGCGCAGGGATGGATCCCATGTGTATTCCAGGGCGCATCCGACCACTGCGCTACCCGGAAAACCTTAGTTCGTTGAAGAATGTAAATTTAAAAGGAAAACATACCTAGACAGAAAACTAAGATACAACGGAGTAATCCAGGTGTCCACAGGTCACAAAACAAAACTGTTGGTTTTACTGTCACATTTACGATCCTAGCGCAAAAATGAAAAGCATCAACGCACTGAACTATTGAGGGATGTTAGAATAATTGCAAAAATCCAAAAATTTGCCAAAAAGACGAATGCGTCATGACATACACATTACTTGGTGTCGTATGTCAGATTAGTTTTCTGATCAGGGTTTTGTAGAATCTTACGGAAACATATCATTATTTTTATCTCAGGATTCGAAATAGACAAGCAGGCGCTTGCAATCTGCAAAGAAAACTTAGAGGACCTAGAAATTGAAGATCGGTAGGGCTTGATTTAATCATTGTGTTTCGTTCTGTTCTCCTACGACTAGGTGCCTTTACAGTGTAGAATTTATAGCTGTGAGTTAGTTAACAGCGATGTTCTTCAAATATCAAGTAGTCTTCACAGTCAATTTGACGTCATAGTCATGAATCCACCATTTGGAACAAAAAGTAACGTAGGTGTGTTTTTACTTAACAGTTTAAATTCACTGCTTTACCACCATCGTTTAGGAATCGATATGCAGTTCGTACGAGCTGGTCTTATGATGTTATCTCCAGGTAGTAGCCTATTTTCCCTACATAAGTCTTCAACACGTGACTACATTCTCAAAACTGCAAATAAGTGGAGCGGTATGGATGTGAGCATTTACCACAATTCCCCTCTATGCCATCATTGAAAACATTCGAGATTTCTTTATTCCAGGCACGCTGTGTGGCGAAGTTGAAATGGAACCTGCCTACCACTTATAAATTTCATAAGAAAAAGTCGGTGGATATAGATGTGGATCTAATACATTACAAGAAAGTTCCATAAATTTATTTAAAAAGTTGAAATAGAGGAATGTGGCGATCAATAATGATTTGTATAATTATCATCTAGTCCTCTTCTCCAGCGGGCAGGTTATCTCTCAGAATATGGTCGAATTTGATCTTAATCTCAGTGTTTGTAGGATTCTCGATCACACTTGAGTAGACCTGAAGAACTAATCAATTATTACTAGCGGGCCGTGTTTTCGAAGTTACTTCAAAACAAAATCCATGAAATGTTTAGTGTATTCGACGAATTCCAAACAAGATGATTCACCTGAAGTGTTAGGTGACCAGTGGTGCTCATTTAAAAGTATAGCAGGATAAAAATTTCCATGTCCTTGCAAAGTGCCTGGCGACTTCTTGTTGTTAGGTAGAACTAAATTTGTAAAACCTCCCAACGCGTTACCACCTCATCGTAGTTGGGAGGTGTTCTACAGCGGCAGGATTCATCCCCTCGGCAGGGTCTCCCAGGCTGAGAAGGAGTCCGGTGTTGCTATCAGGAAGCCCAGCTAAGAGTAAACTAATACCAGAATCTGCCACCGTCTTGGTACCAAATTATTCGCATGATGCAAATCTCCCTCTGGTCCACAACAGCGACCAATGTCTGCGGTGGTGACGACCTGGGGCAGACTTTACCCAGGCTGATCTCTGGACTCCAGAGAATTACAATTGCTAAACCAGCAAATCTCCGAAAAAATGGAGATTATGCTGGGAGCCGCACAACCAGTGAGGACGGGTCATCCAAGTATTCAAGTAAATTTGTAAAAAGAAACAAAAACTAAGATATATGGATAACGAGGAAGGTGTGCTCTGACTTTCTCGTGTTTCATGTTTCAACGGATTCTTTCGTCCAAATGTTTTCACGAAGTGCCAAAAAATCCGGAGTGAATCACAATGAACCATTATAACCATACTGAAAGGGACCTTGAAATGCAGAGCTTCAAGACCGCCACGAATTGCTCCAGCTAAAACTTGGGAATAGTTGAGAGCTGAAAGTGATGATGGCACCTCCACAAGCTCTGTCAACGGATTGTTTTCAATGATGAGAGAAAATTCACGATCACCGCTGGACCAATTCGATACCGTAGCTGGTACACCTGAACGTCTACGCTGTCGGAGTCATATCACAGCGCTTGAAAATTGGACGAACCTAGATAAGCAGGAATGGCATTCTTCGATAAGACGTCGGCGATCTGTCGGCAGTCTGTGCACTTTGGAACGTGGGCGTTCTTGGCGAGAAAGTCGTCAGCTAATCTGGTTCCCATGTTGAATCCGATCTACAACAAAAGGGTACAAAAACGCCACATGATTTCCAAAAACTGTGAGCCGACCTTGTCAAGACGGATATTAACTTGTTTTGGATCCTCGTAATCTTGCAGCATCTCTGTTACAAGCGCACCATATGTCAATGAGAAAAGTTCAGAGCTCATCTGTTACATAAAGATATTACGTTTATTAAGCTGTCAAGATTTTATTAAACCTGACAGGACCCATTACTTGAGTATAGTTCATCAGAAACCTACCATGATGCACTGCTACTAAAGTCATGGTCACAATTACTCCTATACTTAGACGGCCAGATATCATCGTTGTGCGGGTCCCAGCATAATCTCCACTTTTCGAGGTCTTCTTAGCTTAGCCATGGTGTTCCCCTGGAACCCCGAAGTCAGCCTGATCAAAGTCTGCCCCAGATCGTCAACACTATAGGCAGTCGCCGCCTTTTTGGATCAGAGAAAGATTTCCCACCATGCGACTAGTTTGATACCGGGATGACAGTGGATCCTTACTAATTTTGATTTACTCTCAGTTGGTCTTCCTGGTGGAAACACCAAACTCCTCAGTCTGGGAGAGCTTACCGGGGCAGGCATCCGCTGTACATCGCTGCCCAATACCGAGGAACACCTCCCAGCCACGATGAGGCTGTAAACCATTGAGGATGGTCAATATCCTATATTACATGCAAATTCATTAAAAACGTATGCATCCACCTTCTTTGGTTCCATTAAACCAGCTTTTGATGTTTTGGACATCTGTAAACATACAAATGCACTACTTGATATTACCTACAAATTTGGAAACATAATATCATGATACGACAAATAGACACCATTTATTCAATATATTCAAAAGATTGAATTGCTTTAAATTTATTGGATCTATCGGCAGAAGGGATTAACAGCACACTTTATTATCAGAAAAAGATACATGAGATCTAGAATCCACAGTGCCACATAACATTCATTATATAACGCCATAAGGCAAGATTGAGTGAAATGGCAATATGCTAGTCAGAGTCGGACATCTCCTGAAATGACCACTTCTATCACGAGTTAAGTCGGCAGAGCTAATAATAAACGTTCTCCAAGCGAACGACAACACTAAAAATGAATGTATCACAGCACCCTTCTCTTTTTATCGTCATCACTTCGTGAACTAGAACGAGATCGTGACCGTTTGCGAAACTTTCGGACTGCTTTGCGAGATCGATCTATAAGTTGAGTCATTAAGATAGCTCACTAAATAACGAACTTCAAAACAATCACACCTGTTGAAAAATAACAGACCTTTTTCATCGTCACTATCCTTCTCTTCTTTCATACGCTTCTTCCGCCTTTTCTTCTCCCTCGTCTCACTTTCGCTGTCAGACTCCTTCTAAATTTCCATAAGCTTGACGGCCATCTTCGTCACAACAACAGAAGAAATCATACATCACTTCTTTTGCCTCTTTTCTTCTTGTCCTTTTTTTTCTTTTTAGACACTGAGTGGTGATGAGAGCACGCTTCACTCAGCGAACGTTTGTAGTCTTCAAAATATTTCAAGCGAATCTCCTCAGAGTCTATCTACAACATTCGAGGATAACAGTAAGTAGCTCGTCTACAGTACTTTGTGAGTAAGACGAAAAATAATTGTCAAAGGATGATCAAAAATCAAAAAGGGAGAATGCGGTAACAGGTCAGTCACGAACCTACAAGTTGGAAAAATCCTCAGAGCCTATCTACAACATTCGAGGATAATTGAGTACTGGGAAACACTTCAACATGGCAAAGTTGGAATGAAATAAATGTGCAGCTCTAAAGAGATGTAGCCTGCATTTGTCTCTTATTTAGATTAACACGTAAAGAACACTTGGAATTTAGCAGCCGTACCGCTTCGGACGACGCCTAATGCTCAGTTTTTCAGTACCTATTTTCTTGACAATAAACGACAATTTTTCGATAACTAGTGGACCTGAGGGTTCTGAACATGACAGGATTGCAGAATAGACTTCGCTCTATCGTTCTATGGGCATGAGTGATATGTACGCCATTATTTGCTATGTGTTACCAAAGTCCAACAAGCAAATACATTCCTCTCCACACACGGAAGTGTTTCGCACCTTACGTTGCGTCTGTTTCGGAAGTTTTCCTACCCAAAAATTCCACAGACTCACTACATCGTTTGAAATTTAAGTAACACTTAAATGCCACTCAAATTACTGATCATGAATCCGTTTGAGAAAAGATCTCTTGCATGCTTCTTAGTGAAGGTTTGGGCCTTTCCTGCCGTCTTCCTGCACAACCTGTGTTCTATAAACTAGAGGTTGGTTAAAATAAGTGCAGGAAAGTAGTTCTATGCGCCAAAATAAACCATGAGAAAAATTATGACCCATTTAGGGGTTGTACTGGCCGCCCGGTGCGCAGCGTATGACATGTGTGTCCACATCGTCCATTGATAGTTAAAGGATCAGAACTTCGAGTTTTTTTTCATCGCCATTATTTGACCAGATTAGGAAGCATATAGTTACTACTGCTAAACAAATAATTATTATAGACCTTACTCGAGTATTACAACTTTTGTGCGACCAGTTTTCGGCATACACAAATATGTTGGGTGCGGGAAACAAAGTAGCCAGAGACGGCAGGCACGCACTCGTGGTCGCCGATCCAATTACGTGCCAAACCAACCAGGCCTCCCATCGCCAGTGACCGACGAATTGGTACCAGACCTCCCTTCGAAAAGCTGTCTCCAATCTACAAAGGTCGGCCACAAGTTAAGCGGAAGACTTGGTACGCTTTGCCAAGGATATCTCAAGATTTCAGAACGAGTCGACCCGACCAGAACTGAATGACGTTCATATGGATGAAGTCTTGAGATTACAGTCGAACGTAAACGCAAGTTCGAAGTAGAGGATGAAGGATTCGAGATAACGAATAGGACGGGATTAATGCTGAGATCTCCGCAATATGTCGGACCATATAAGTTAAAGTTGATAAAAACATACTTCGTGTTATTTTTATTTTATAACAAATCATTAGCAAAAGGATAAGGTCGCCGTTAATGAATCCCTTGGGAACACACCGTACATTCGACTCCATCTGTAGCATCGCAGAGATTACTGAGTGTATATTTGGCCTATGAGCCAAAACATGGGCTTACCAACGTGTCTACTCAATATCTGTATGCTCTTAGAGACATCTGGTACTAGCTTGCCGACCCCCAAGGTATGAAGAGTTAGGATCGTACAGACATAGAATAGAACTAACGACGATGTCTGTGTTGCGAGGCACCTCTAACACAATGACAATGTAACACACTATTATACTAGACAACAAAGTGCTAATATCTTATTCAAGATCGAATCATGGAAGAGAAACATACCACAAGAAAAGCCTTTTCCTTCTCAATTTTACCACGAACGGCGGTCCATTCTGTATTAGCGTCCACCATAGGTTGTTGCGCTCGTAAAAGGTGACGGAATTCACTTTCTTGGCGTCGCTTTTTCCGCGCCTCTTCTCGTTCGGCCTCACGTTCCTTAGATTCTGCCTGCAATATTGCTAAATCATAATCTTTTTTTTTGACATGAAATGTTGTGAACACATGTCAACAAACAAGCACCTTTTCGACTAACGAATTGTAACAGAGTTTCATATTTCCGTAATCTACAACCAAACCCTTTTCAGCCGAAGTAACCCACTTGGAGAATTCTTCGAAGGTTGTGTCCACCTATAAAAAAAACATGATGTTTCCTAAAACAGACTGCATAAAGTTGGAAAGATGTCGTTCACGCTCTGTTGTCAACTAATGGTATCGGCACTGTTTTGCAAGAATTATAGTTGCAAGCCGCAAACTATATTCTCGTGACTTTTATGATAGAGACCCGGGAACGCCTTAGCACAGCTAATTCGGTATTACAAGGAAAACTTTGCTCGACCGCTAATGAGCATCTCAGTGAGAACGAAGATGACAAATACTTGTGTCGCCGTCGGACTCGTATATGAACACGATCATTTTAATGAATAGTAGTTTCATAACAACGAGACGAATGAAAACAGTGCTAAGGGAAGCAGCTCATTCAAACACCCACTTACTGTTGTTAAAAAATCAATATACCTGAACAACTTTCTTCTGGTCACTAAGAATGTCCTTGATCACTCGCCGATCCTGTCCATACTGTTCTTTTAACTCTTCTACATAGAATTTGAACAGATCAAGCGGAGTGGAACCTAGAGACGTAAAAGTTACATAAGTAATACCAGAAAAGTATGATGCCAAAACTCAGCAACAGCTTCGTACCATCTTGAGTGAGCATAGCATCAAAGCGCGGATCGGATGAAATTACAGGATAAAGAGATGACCATAGAGACATTGATGTCAATTCTCCTTAAAAAATCTACAACAGTTCAGTTTTTCCGGACAACCAAATAAAAAAGCTGCAGTATAAAAAGACGCACCTTTTTTATGTAATTGCTGTAAAAACTTTTGGAAGTCTTCTCGAACTTTACGCTCCTGCCTCTTAACGCGGCGCTCCTAAAACAACCTCCACAATTATTAAGAGGACGAACATATAACGAACAAAGTCAAATCACCTCAGCCTCCTTTATTTCAGCATGCTCCTTTTCAGCTTGACGAATATGCTCTTCGAAAACGATAAGTGCATCTTCTTTGTCCATACCTTAAAAAGAAGTAGATAGAAACTTCTAGATATTCTCTTAAGATAGTTTTGACAACAGGAGGAAACAATGTCGAAGGAATGACTGGAAAACCACGCGTACTTTGCAGTGTGGTGTCATCGGCAAATTGTGGGTTTTCAATAAGAAGTCGCTGGGCTTGCGCCCACGTGGTTTTGTAAGTTATCTGATCCATGCTTTCCAATATTTCTGCCAGTGCTTTAATGTTGCGTTTTCTTGTTTCACGATTCAAATCCGCGTCCCTTTTTGTTACATAGGACTGAAAATATAAGACGTGGGACATATAAAAGTGAAACCAAGAAAGAAAAACAGCTGACATACGAACAGAGTCGGGTTGTTATAACTATAAAATTAAATAAGTCGAAAATATCAGTGCATATCTGAGAAGATAACATGCGAACTACATAATAAACACAGTAGAGAGAGCAGTCTTTTACCAAGGCTTCTCGAAATATGTCTTGACGGTCGTCCTCGTGAACAGCCTGCCATACCGCCTCCTTGCCGAATATCTCACGTGCTCGCATATATTTCAAACCGGGCTTCATTTTAGGATGATCCTGCAGCCATTTTTCGAGATCCTCCTTTGCCTTTTTTATTGCCAATCGTTTCTCATCCTTAACATGTAAACTGCGAGAGAATAAAACTGGAAAAGAAAGTATATTATCATACCCTTTCTTCCTTCTGTCTCTGTACCTTCCATGCATTGAACAGTTGTTTCTTCTCAGAGACCTAAACAATAACTTAGCAAACCAGTTCATGAAGTCACACAATAATTTAAGTGCTCAGTACTTTAGTAAGAATGCGGAAACGTGGATCACTTTGGATGTGCTTGACAGCGTGTTCCCAGTTGCAGGTCGACGATATTTTACCTGAGCAATTAAAAATAAATATGCGGTCGTTCCTACTGAAAGCGGAATGCACGCTCGTCGAAATTCACAAAACTTCAAAAGCTTCTAAGGAAGACGACTTTGCATAGTAGCAACGTCTTGAACTAGTATTTTTTGCAAAAGATTCCGCAAATGTAAAGAGAATGACTAACCTTCATTGTACTTATCCCTGAGAAGGTCTCGGAAACGTTCGGCTTGACGTTTTTTAAGGTCCTGCTCATTGTCTTCTGCTTGTACTTCTACCTATAACAAAACAAAAGGATTCGAAGAAATAAGTGGTTATTTTGTAAAGCGATGGGCAAAATAAAGGATAACGTGGAAATAAAACATACTGATTCAAGATAAATTGCAAGACTTACTGTCTGTTCAGCTGTTTCCACTTTAGTTTCAGCCGGTAATGGTACTGTCATCGATGCTAGGGTTGCTTTCATTGCCTTCTCCATTTCGCTCTCCTCTTTCACTTCTTCCTTTGGCGATGTTTTCTCTTTTTTTACTTCTTTAGTGGTTGCGGTACTTGCTGAAAAAGAAAAGTGTGGAACATCAACATACAAAAAGAAAATAACTACATCTTCACCGCCGCATAATAAACAAAACACTTAGCATTCAGATCGGAATATTTTAGTCCGCTGACGTCTTACTTCACGACCTCATTTGGCTTAGTTGCTTGAATTGTGGATCGCTCGACTTCAGAAGTATACATCTTACCAAACTTGCTAGTGATTCCTTCCTCATCATCTTTGTGCATGGTGATGCTCTCATATTAGGTCACATCTTCGAATATCATTCTATAATCTATAAACCGTTATCAGACGCGAATGCATCTGCATGATGTGGCTGGCAACATAAGCCGACCCACCACAGATGGATGATTCTTTCGTATTCACCTTAGTGGATGTAAGCATTCCCCTGGTGTTCATCCATTCTGCTCTTCATGCCCACCTTTCTTAAATACTTCTCATTAAATGAGCGGCCAAGTTGTGTTACGTCTCCAGAAACACAGTTTACTGAGTCGTCAACCACATGCGACTATAATCAGCTGTTCTAAACTTCCTCATTGGAAGTCACGAAAAAGCGGCTCTGAAGAAGGCGATACTGCCGAAACGTCAGCTAGCGTTGTATTGTGTTGTGTTTTTATGGAAGTAAATGTATGCTGTTTAAAAACCTCGCGATTGCTGAACAAGAAAGCGACACAGTTTACTGAATTTCGCAAATAATGCTGCTTCCGAATGCCCCGGCCTGCATAGCCCGACCAGTGGAAAAATGATTATGGATTTGGTCATCATGGATTTTATAACACCAATACACTTCGCAACAAATAATTGTTGCTAACATTACTGTTGTATACCTTTTTTTACCTCAACCATTTCTTAGGAGCTTGCCATGTAAAATTTTCTTTCCTAGCAATTGATTTACAAGGGTTTTAGGCCGACCGAAACGGTGTTCTCAAAGGATTAAAAAAGCTCTTGACGCTGATCAATCCCTGAGAGATGTGTCATGCATTCAACTTCATTAAGCATTGTTTGGAGGTGACTCAATACACATCTGGCCTTTACAATGACTCGTGTTAGCCTACCGATGTACATAGCCAGTACTGCAATCCTCCTAAAGAAGTTTGGGCCCAATTTTCGGACCCCGGAGGAATGTGAGATTTGGTGAGCCAAGGGCACGGGGATCGATCCCATATGTGTGCTGCAGGGAGTCTCCGACAAGTGCGCCACGTTGTTCACAAACCATGATAATCACCTCGAGATCAAACTCGGGAGTAAAGCTACGGTAAAATGTTGGAGTATCATCAGGGTCTACATCATAAACCTGCTTCCGGACACATAATGCAAAGTATGTAAGGTCTTCTAATGTAGATATAACTTCCTGTGACGAAGAACACGAAGAACTGTCGACAGTAGATGGCCTCAATTACAATTCGATAGCCAAAGATGCACCCTCAGAAACTAGTTGAAATATTGTAAGAGTTCAACAAACACGACTATTCGTTATTCATAAAGTAGGTGAAATTTGAAAGGTGAAGAAGCTCGATAAATGGATGCCGCATTAATTGAATGGAAGAATGCCCAAACTTTGCGCTTTTTACGCAGCAAAACCAACAAAAGTCAATATGATGCGAGAGCAAGGAGATTTGTTCGGCAGACATACTGAGGTGAGATGAAGCTTTTAACATTTATGAAAGTCGAATTTGCACTAAAAAACGGTTATGATGAGTTCGTTTTCGAAATCTTCAATCTTAGAAAAACAATCACAGCATAGAAGTACCGTTACGAAATCAATGAAAACTATAATAACATAAGCGAAAGCATCAACAACTCATTAAAAAGCCTATTGTTCAAGTACAACTACGTTTTAACACACGTTGTGGAACTAACATTGAAGAACTTTAAAACATCTCCCTCAACATTCTTATCAAAACTCTGGTTAATCAACTACCACCTTCCAGCTTTTTCTGCAATCTCGACAACTACAACATGTGAAAATATTTGACAACCGCCACTGCAGAAAATGTCTTCGAATTATTAGCTTTCTGCAAGAGCTTTGAATTATAAGCTATCAGAACAAATAGTGCAGTGGTAAGAGATGTCATGCAATACACAAGTGGTCGTTGATTTATCCATGGCCCAGAGCAAGTGAAGCCATACACCCATCCGGGATCGGCAAATTGGTTCCAGATTTCTCTGTGGAAATAAATACGCATAATACATCGTTAGGCTACCGTATGTTATGGCCAGATATGCATTCAATTACCTTCACGATGCTTAATAGAGACGAATATATGGCGCGTCCCTAAGGAACAAGGCGAACCGTGGACGCGTTTATTACACAAAAATTGTAGTATACCCAAAATAAAGTAAAAAGGAACCTGTTCATCACAGTGCTTATATTTAAAACCGAAATAGTGAACTTCTATTTTCTTTGCAAAGAAGGTACAGATTATAAACGGCCTTATTCTGGATAATAAAGTGGTGTCTGCTTCGGTATTCTAATTTTTGTTGAATGTCGTATATAAATGTGTGATGTGAACTATGCAACTAAGACATAAAAACCTGAGCTGATTTTCCAACAATCAGTAAGAATTTTGCGAATACCATAGAAGCAAAAGACCTGAAAACTCTATCGACTTTTAAGTGGAACATTTCTCTACTCATCCTGGAGTGAAGGCGATCTTTGAAGAATATTATTTTTTATTCATAAGGTATTTCAGAACTAAAAGTTCCGAAGATTGAAAACAAGGTTTGAAATTCCGTTTTTTTTTCATGTTTTGCTTGTCTTACTGCTCCGTTCTTTGAAGTACGAAACCTGACGAAAAAAAGCGGTGGAAGTGAGATTTCTGAACTGTATAAAACCGTACTTCACCATGGTAGAATAGGAAAACTTGCGCCATATTCGTAGAGACCTGTAGATTCCGATATTTTCTTATTTTAAATTGTAAAGTCCTCTATAAGCTGAAATACGATGACTTAATGTTAAAAGTGGCCATTATTTTTCCATCGTACAAGTAGTGCAAATCAATTCATCTCAAAATCAGGGTGTTCAAGATACCATCGCGTTCAATTTGTTACCCATCACACCAAGGCCTTTTCTTGATGAACTGCATATTTGTCCCATTTATACGCAGTCCAACCACTTTCCTACTATCACTCAACTATTTTGAGCGTTGTTTCTGCTTCATTAGTACACGTAGAAAAAGATCAACAAAGCGCCATCTTTCCTGCGATTAGACAATTTGTCTTCCTGGTACATTGATTTTAACAAAGAAACTGAAAACTGCGAATGGCCTCAAACCTTCCACAGCTGCCGCAGGTGTGTTGAGAGCTTCGGGTTTCGTCCAAGTCGTTTCTTTTGTCACTGAGTTGTAATAATAGGCTCTACCTTCTGGTGTTTTGTATTCTTTCCATATTACATTTGCAGTAGATGTCGCAGCAGTCGAACGCTGAGCGATATATTTCTAAACAGCCGACCGGCATAAAGGATCATAATAACATAAACAAACTTCTTGACGCTCTTGTGGTGCTTTCAACTCGTCAGGCTTGTTCCATGAAGACTCTTTTGTGATTTTATTATAATAATACACACGACCTTCGGCTGTTTCGTGCTTTGTCCACGGACATTCCTTAAAATACAGTAATTAGAGCAAATGTGAACTTCCAAAATTTGTCACGTACAGTAGTGGTTGACTGTGTCTGCGGACTTTCATTATTTCCTTCTTCACCTGCCATTCCAGGTGGAACTAGCATGGGTGTTGGACGACTACCGACTGAAGCTCCAGTAGGAAGTGGGACGCTTACAAGAGTGTTTGGTGTCGACACCATTACTAGGAAAAGCGGTTTCAAAAATTGACAGAGTAAAGGCAAAACAGGAAAGAAAACCTCATAGAATTCCACTATTAACTCAAAATTAGAACAATACCTCTCTGCAAGGCATTTGCATTCAGCAAGATCTGCTGACCAGCTACCAGGCCCGGATTCATATTCAAAATCGGAAAACCGAAACCAGGCAACATCTGAGAAATGACTGAAAGACTATCTGGTGGATCACAGATATGTACGTCACTATTGGAAAGACATCCTCTATTGGACATCTTCCCATTTTTCAACCATAACGAACAGGTTAACAATGTTCCACTTGATAAGAGTTAACAAGAAAAAATGTTAGAACGAGTTTAGCATATAAATTAAAGTAAGTACTCCGAGCAATGAGTAAACAAAATAAAAAATAAAGAGGATGAAATACGCTGTCGACGTTACCAGTCGTACAAAACACATGACAAACTCTGCGTAGTCTTTATTGTAAGAAAACAATATTTCATAGCAGTGAAAACAAAAGTGGTATAAGCCAAACACGTTGAACATGATATGCGCGAATATTAACCCGAATTTGAGAAACAACTATTCCATGAGTGTTCAAATTTAAACATATCTTTAAGAAAACTGAAGAGTAAAACGAGCTTAACTAGTTTCGAAAAAAATGCTCCGCACAAATACACATATATATATATATGCAGTGTATATATATGTATACATATATGTCCATGTATATATACACAAGCACGTACGTCTGCGCACATATATGTACATATACTTGTATGCATGTATATATATACATATACGTATGTATATGTATGTATAAACGAAGAACTAACCCTTCTGGAAACGATCAATGACCGCATGATAAAGCTAGCAGTTTCGTAAAGTAGAGGTAACCTGATTAATTTACGTCACGGAATAACAAGAAAGATGAAAAGCAACCGACCAATAGTGCTAAAGCCGCTGCCTTTGAAGCGGTATGTCTACTGAAGGAACTCTGAAAAAAATATCCATATGATAAAAGGCTTTTCCAAAATTATGTAGACAACGTATGAAACAGTGCAGGCACTCAGTTTCGTAACTTTTGACTCTTCTTTCCTAAGAAGAACATTTCTTGCCACATCATTTCAAACACAACTTTCCACTAATAACGAAGAATTCATTGAAGAATTGCTTAATGACAACCTTCAGTATTGTCAGCATTAAGGGTTTGATTTTGCACGTTAAGCCGAAGATAAATATAGGTAAATCGTCCAAAAAGTGACTTCTAAATTCAAATTATGCCGACCCGTAGCGCCCTTGAGTTAAGAATGCGATACAGAAAGAGTAAAAACCACAGTATAACGCCGATTAAAAAACTTGGAGCATGTTTCTTTTTTGACATTCTGAAGCGTTAAAGGTTCATCTATCGAATACTTCAATATCAACTGAAGATGGTTCACGTACCTTGCTAGCTATGCGCAACCAAAACAACAGATCTCAGCTATCGAAGAAGAAATTAACTGTCAGAAAGGAAACTTAAGAAAATTGTTCAGACCGAATTTAAAGAAAACCACAGCATCAGCAAAACTATCTTAAATAACCCAGACAGAAAACGTGAAAATTTTTTGTTTAATAACGTTAAAATTGCAAAAAAGGCTTACACACTGACCGTTAAGCTGCTTCATTCATACGTTGAAAGTAGCGTAAAGAGCTATTCAAGAAGTTGAACACTTCCAGCCTTACATCACAAACATTTACTGAAAATGCAACAGACCTCGGCACACACGACCATAGAATTTGTTATCAGAGATGAATAGTAATCTTTACGTTGGCATCGCTCGATATGGAACCAGTATCTGGCTTTACATCTTCGCCAACTTTGATAGTTATCTGCGTCCTTTGTATACCTGATTCCATTTCACCATTTTTTGTTGTTTCAGACATTGCGTTACTGCTGTATACCTTAAAAAAATCGGGATAAGTTATGCTCTAATGCTTCGAACACTAATGGGACTCACGGTTCGCAGAGCACTCGCCCTATCAGCTAGAATGAATCGTGGTCCTCGTAGGACAGGAATACACCGTGGTGACGAAACCGATTGCTCTTTCAAGGAAACAATGGAGGGCAAAGGTTCCGAAAGCACAGGATACAAGCACTGATGACCACCATCTAATTCGGCTTCATTATTTCTGGATTCCAAAAGTTCATCAACTTGAATAGCAATGGGCGAAGGACATGATGATGGTTTTTCCGACTCATACCCAAGATCACTGGTATCTGAATTTTTATCTTTAAGAAATAAAAAACATTGTTCTTAGAGGAACGAAAAGAAAACTAGTCGTACGATATGATACTGTGCCTGTCGTTGCGGACGAAGATGTGGTAGCTACAACTGTAGCGTCCTTTACGTCGCCATTTGATAAACGATGACTACCAATCGTTTTTGTTAGTTCAAGAATCTTTCTGTCATGCTGAAATACATGCTAGTATGTGGCTAAAGGTGGTCAGTATACAAATAGCTTTGAAAAAGAAAGGAAAAAGAGGTAGAAAAAATCACCGGATTTAAGTTAGTTAGCAGATTCTGTACAATCTCCACCATGGTACCAAGACGTGCCTCCAAGGATAGCAAATTTCTGGAAGATAATTCAATAATTGCAACTTGGAAAATACTACACTAACGACCACAAACTTGAGCATAAAACAGTTTTCGTATAGTAGGTTCAGCCATGTTAAAATCTTCAACCACTGCACCACTTGAAGTCGTTATGTTAATAATGCAGTTTATAACCGCCAGAGTCTTAAAAACCTTCCTACGCTTTCGTTCTTACAAAATAATAACTGAAGTTCTATATAATCTACTTCCGTCCCAACGGTCTACCTCCTCATTGTGGTTGGGAGGTTTTCCTGGTATTGGGCTACGATGTAAAGCTGGGGATTCACCCCTCCGGCAGGGTCTCCCAGGTTGGAGTTCGGCGTTTCCATCAGGAAATCCAACTAAGAGGAAACCGATATCAGGATACACCATCGTCCTGGTATCAAACTAGTCGCATGGTGACGAATCTCCCTCTGATCCAAAAGGGATGCGACTGCTTGTGATGGTGACGATCTGATGCATACTTTGGCTATGCTAACCTCGAGACTCCAGGGAACCACGATGGCTAAACCAGCAAAACTTCGAAAAATGGGGATTTCGTTGGGGCCTGCACAAGTAGTGAGGACGGACTATCTGAGTAAGTAGCATATAGTATAATATATTTCCTAAAATAAACAAACTGCAACATATTTCAATGGCGCGACACGAGTGTTCATTATAAGCAAGAAGGATTTTATGGAAATAGAAACTATAGGGAGTAAGTCAGACATTCAATTTTCTCAGGGCGTTTGAGAACTAATATCTAGCACTTATGTTTAAGCCTCTTAAAAAAACCTTTTCATGGCCGGAAGAGTTGTCCGGCAAATACTACAGCTCTTCCCAAAAAAATTTGCGCGGATCTCATCATTGAACAATGGCTGACCGACTGGCTTAACCAGCTCACCCTGAAAAAAATTTTTAATCACAGAAAACCAAGTGAATAAATAACTCACCAGCTGAGCATGAGTCTTTACACCACTTAGCGTCGAGGAAGCAGGTTTTCCTACTCGTCGATTGTCGTTACTGGATTCACACTGCTGTAACTCACGTGGCTCAACTGCTGTTTCATCCAAGTCCATAGGCTCTGTTTTTATAGGTTTAGACATCTGCTTATTGTCCAATTGTGAACTATCGTTGGACACAGGAACATCTCCCAATAAAGCAGAGATATCAATAGCCCCTGAAAAAGTGCAACATCTAACACTATGCATTTTTGCTATTCTTTGAAGTAAAGGACGAACAAATACAAAACAGAAATGTAGAGCTATACAGTTAACCTGATCTCGATGTAACCTTTGCTTTTAAAGAATCCTCATCAACTCTTCCGCTCCCTGCGATGAGATGACCAGTAGTACGATTTGGTGAGAGACTAGATGTCCATGAGAAAGATGTTGGAACTCTCTGCAAAAAAAGCCAAGAATAAAGCAATTATAACGTTTTCCATGCCAGGATGGCAATATAAGTAAAATCGCGATCACCAAACACGTGGTACGTAGAAATACAACATTTCATAAGCAACTTCAACAATTAAAAAATATTGCTGCATATGTAAAATTGCAAATAGAATAGTATTGGGGATAAAAGCTCTCGACACTGATTAATCTCTGAGGGATGCACCATGCGTCCGGCTTCATTAAACGTCGTTTCGACGTGACTGAACGCATATCTGGCCTTCTACAATGACTCGAGGTGGTCTTTCGATGTATTCAGCCAGTACTGCTATCCTCCTAGACAAGTCTGGTATCATTTTCCCGACCCCGGACAGATGGAAAGCTTGGTGAGCCACGGGCGCGGGGATCGATCCCATGTATGTGCCGCAGGACGCTTCTGACCACTGCGTCAAACGACAGAATGGTATATACGTATATACTCAGATGTGTAAACCCACATGTGCATATAAATGGTTAAACACCAAGTCAAAGGGTAAAGAATTTGGCGCACTGCAAGTGATCTCTAATCACTACGCTACACGTGTCCCTCTATATTCGTCGGTTTATAGAGTTTCACAGCTTTTTTTACAGGTTCATATGCATAATTACATACATATGTGTTCACAGATACACGCACATTTATACACACGCGCATACATGCGCACGCAACTACATATACATACATACACATATATATATATACGGACATAAATATGTACATATATATGTAGGAGCGCTTCTCCTGGTTTCATAACACATTTAAGTAAAACAGTCACCTTTGTAGTGATTCTAGCCAATTTTCCGTTCGACAATCTGATAAATTTTGGTCGAGATGATGACACAAGCCCACGAAGCGAATGACGTGATGGGTCCACAGGTGGCTTGCCACCTAGCCTCACCAATTTTCCAGTAGGAGTTCGCCATAGCTTCACTGAGCGGTCTAGAAAATCTGCAATTAGAACCAGTACGACGTTGTCATCATTTGGAGTACAAGGGAAGTTCTCCGAAAACTGGTGGTAATTTCTGCACAAGCAGTTCTTTTTTAATTTGGGAATGTGAACAGGTTAGACTTACATAGCCATTTGCTCTACAGCTCTAGAAGCAACTACGATTTTCCGAAGATGTTGCTTTATCTCTAAAGCAATCAAAACTTCCAAAATATCGCAAGCGAATTCAAGATATTTGAAATACCCAGCACGGTAGCCTTAAATATAAGCCATAATCACGTTCTGCAAGACGACGACTTCTTTCTCCAATCGCTTCCTGGTTTGAATCCAGGACTTAGGAAAAAACGCCGAGAAAACGTGCTGGAGCTTCCAGGAAACCAACATTTCATCTGGGTATACCTACCTACCGATGCATCAAGCCAACGCTGCTATCCTACCAGACAAGTCTGATAACGCTTTGCCAACCCTGGAGGGATGGAAGGCTTGGTGGACCAGGGGCGCGGGAATCGATCCCATGTGTGTTACAGTGCGCCTCCGACCATTGCGCCGCACGTACCCTTTCATCTCGGTAAAATAATAAAATCTGTTGTACTAAAATGGAGAACAGAAGAGTTCACCTTTTTCTGGCGAAACAATTTTCTTAACCGGACAGTGATTCGAGGACTGTTGAATTGGTTCAACTTCTTTCCTTCGCTCTGTGCATTGACCATTCCAATCAGGAGGGGTAGCTACAAATTAGTTTTAGAATTGTTTCAAGTTTGACAGAATACAAAAATTATAGGATCACTGCGCTCTAAAACAAATTTAAATGGACAAAACAATAAACGACAGAACTGAAAGGTATTGAAGTGGATCGAAGAACATACGTCGACTGACAGCGATCCTCTTCAAAGGTGTTGGAGAAGTGTCTGACGGGGCTCTTATAAGATATCTGGGAAGAAATCTATTCGACAAACCAGCAACCCGTGCAACCTCAAACAAGGAAAAAAACAAGTTCCACAAGTACAAGATGCTGGCAAGAGCAGCATCGAACACAGAGAACTACCGATTTTACGAATAAATACACATGAAAAATGAAATACCGATAGCCCGGAATCCAGCGCAGTGCGTTGATTCCTGGATTGTTGTGCCTGCCTTCCATTAGGCTCCGCATCTTCAACTCTCAAAAACTTGTGTTTTGTTGTAAAAAGTTTTTTCTGATTGACAGAAATCTGAAGTGTACGGAACGAGGGAACTTACTTGACATTAATATCAGTGATCTTCTTAGCATCGTTGCTGGACAATGTCATTACTCTACCGTGGACGAGTAAATACACAACTGCTGCGGCGGACGTTATTCGTCGTTCCATCAACAACTGACCTTAATCGATTACTGTAAATCGTCTTAGGACCACGTTTTCGTCTCAGGACCGCTGCAGATTACGGTAGGCTGGCTCACTGAGAGACGCTTTGTGGTCGATGGGTCCCACTATGTGGTGGTTGTAGATTGGGTATAAAGAGTTGTTTGATGAAGGACCATGGGTACGGTTCTCTTGGTGAATGAGAGGAATCTCCACTCAGGTAGCAACTTTAGCGAGAGCAATTCTTTATATTCTTGTTGAGCAAACACGAGATTGTTACTTTATTCTTTATCTACGAGGAAGCTGACGTTTCAGCGAATTTCGCCTTCCTCAGAGCCTGGAAGGGTCAAGTAGACCGCAATCTACTCATCCAAACACCTCCATAACCTAACAGAGAAAGTGTTGAACCAAGATTTCAATCACGCTGAACATAGAATAGCATCTTCGCGCACTCACAATTTTCTATGAATTTTACCCTGAATATGTCTCATGGAGACCTAATCAGATGGGATGACATCTAATGAGAGTTCCTTTCTGTCTCAGTGTACTCTCGGAGATTACTCCTAGATCATTAACCACTGTAGAGTATCAAGAACGGTGAAAAACAGGAACGAGAGTTACATCACTCTGTTAGAAGGTTCTTACGTGAACAAGGAACTCTGGAAAATCTGCTATTGCATATGCTATGGCAAGTAATCTGCTCTAAGTGGACGGATCCGAACCCTCGACTGCGGTGAATGCCACGCTCATTCAGGTTCCGATTTCAGGTCTCGTTTGATTTCCGCTGATCTGTGTTCATTTGCATTTTATCTCAGACTGACAAGAGGGAGAGGAGGATAATTAGACTTTTTATTGCCAGGCTTTTTAAACCGGAGCTTGGTTGAGTGATGGTCTTATGAGCTTCGTCATTACCTCTTCATTCCCTGTACTATGAATGCTGAAGTCAAAATCATCAGCAGTGCTTAGAGTCTGTGTGTCACAGAGCAGCCAGTATTGCATCAGAACTCGTTTCTCCTTTGTTTCTCTTTTTGTTTCCGGAGATCCGCACGGATCTCTGGCCAATGGCTCGATCTGTCTCCTAAGCTATAGTTCTCCCCATTCACATTTCCGTTCCCGGGGCCGTACATGTGAGGGGATGTTTCCGAATATTGCTAGGTATCGTCAATTCCATCCAATTGCATCGTAAAATTGTTACACATCCTTCGAAATACTGCCTTCCAGCTGAATGAATTCCAGTTGGAGAGGAAGTCCTGTTCCTGCCGTACGTGCTGTCTAACCTAAGTACTAATCTTACGGGGTCTGAATGCAAGAAGTCCTGTTCTTGCCGTACGTGTTGTCTGACCTAGGCACTGACCTTACGGGGTGTAAGTGCCCAAAAGGAATTTTGCCTCCCATTGTGGGATATGGGGTCCTTGAATGGAAACTGCGATATTGTAGATGCTAGTAGTGTAATCAGTGCACAATTTACATACTCCTAATTAGACACTGTCGAATGTCGGAGGATGGAGTTCTCCGGAAGTTCCCTGGAATAGGAATTGTCTTCTGGTTATCAGTTTTATTTTTGAAGTGTACGGTAGGTGATAACCACGTTACTACTGACTGACGTGAACAACTGTCGCTAGCCCTGCTCGTGCTGCAAACCCACGCCACTTCAGTTCATTTTTTCCCTTTACTTGCTGCCAGTATGTTCATCCATCTTCATTTCCTTCTTGGGGTCAATCAAGTCATCTTCAAGATTCCTCAAAGCTCTCAGGACTTTTAGGCTAGTTCTGTATCCGTGAAGGTTTCTGTTGCTCCTTGAAAAAACCATGTGTGAAGGCAGTTTTTTGGCCTCGATTAACTTTCCTTGTCTGTTCTAGAGTTCTTATGTTGATTCCAATTTTTATGATGGTGAATTAAGGTCAAAGTTAACTGAAGCGAAGTCTCATACAAGCATTTAACAAGAATTTGATAGTAGGCAAGATCTTGTCGCATTGCCCCACTTGAAGCTGTCCTTTTAAAGTTCAAGGAATAAATTGGAACTTATATGGGACATTAGTTGTATTTGATTGTCCAGCTTAAAGTCTTAAGGATTTAAAACTGAAAGTCCAAGAGAAACATGAACCAAAAAAAGTGAAGAATATAAACGGAAGGCTAAAGAGCTCTTTTTCTAAGAGCGCGTTTTTTTAAGAAATAACTCATTGTAAGTTATCGATCTCGAAGTTGGGATGTTTATGTCGCTCATCGCATTAGCGCTCAGAAAAGGTGGGTACTCGTATTTGAAGTGTGTTTGAATAAACGTAACAGAGCTTTCGGCTGTTCTATCATCTGCATTTTTCATGATTATGTTGAGAATTATTGAAATTACATGTATAGGTATGACATCAGCTGAGGTGGACTCGGCAGTTGTGACGACTACCAAGGACTCCATCGAGCCGCAACTCCCAGATTCCGGAAATGTTTCCGTCAGTGGGTCACCGGACTGTCTCCACACAAGTGGTAACGTTTTTGAGGAGAACTTAGAGTGCATCGTCTTCTATTCAAATCTCCAAGGTGTGTGTTCATTCTTTATGTGTATCGGAGTTCTTTTTCTACCTTCAGGCGAAATCACCGAGGCGGACTCAACAACCCTCAAGATTGAACCGCAGGAGGCAATATTAACGTTGACCATCCAGCCCGGTAATGGAGAACCATTTGATCTTCAGGTTAGCAATTATCATAATTTTTTAATGAGTTCGCAGGCATAAAATTCTTTGGAAGAAATTGTCACTCCGTTCCTCTTAATTCGTTAGCTGAGCTTTCACCTTTCCAAAGTTTTGGACTTATTCTTTTATTTCAAAGCCGAACTTCGTTTAACGTCCTAATCAATATGTATTCCTTCTTTGATAAGCCTACACGAGGTTGGTATGCAATTTGGCTAACGTTTCGACGTCTTCGTGCTCATCAAAGCCGATGATCTGTTAATGATTCTTATACTTGTCTTCCACTATATCCGCTCAAATGGACCATTTTTAATGTTCCCCTAACCTTTTCTAAATATTGGCTGGTTTTAACTGTTTGGTCATCCTAGTAGTTTAAACGGAATTTTGGCTGTTACAGGTCAATAATGCCGAAATGGTACAAGAGTTGCACCAGTTGCTGCTAGAGCGGGAGTCAACATGTCACAGAACTTGCTTCAGTCTTCAGTTTAACGGTATCAGCCTAGACAACTTCACAGAAATTCGAGCTATAAATGGTCTTGTCGACGGATGTGTTCTACATGTCGTAGAAGGTATATAGAAGGACCGAAATGTGTTTCGTACTGCCAACAAAAATTTTACATAGGGTGTTTTTTTCTTCAGAGCCATATACAATTAGAGAGGCTCGCATTCATATTCGTCATGTTCGTGATTTGATACGTCAGAATGACCAAGCAGAAGCTGCATCAGCAGTTGACATGAGTTCACTCTCTTTCCTACCTTCCATTAACCTCCAAGAAAGAGGAGACAGAGACAAACCATTTGATGGACTTCCGCCCGACTATGTGTTACCTGGAACGAAAGTTGGTGTTGTTCTGTGCTTCTAAATTTGTATATGGTGTCGTTTATGTTTGTGGAACTTTTTTTATCAATAAGCTGAAGCATTTGAGTTTAGTTGGAATGACACAGAGAGGATTTCAGGAACGTTCACTTACTCCGATGCTCACGCAAATACCCAGAGTAAGACCTGCTTTACGAAATATGGGAATTTCATCGTTTAATCCGCCAACTGGACATAGAAAATTGAAGGGTGATATTCTGTACCTCTTCGTAGACATTCTTGAGAAGCGTCGTCTCCACATTACTTGCTGTACGAAAGTGAGTTTTATGTGGTGAATAGATTCTCCATTGCACTTTATCTGTGCTTTTCAAAGAAAATCCCTAGGGTTTCTTCGTTAACTCGTCAACTGACGAGGTGTTCAATCCACAACCAAGCACTCAAAATAAGGCTATTTGTCACAGTCTTGTTGATCTTCTTAATGCCGTTAGTCCAGCTTTCAAAAAGGTGACGTCTTTTATTCACTCCTTTAAAGTCCAAGGGTTTATAGTTTTGAAGTTTGTTCGTTACGTTTTTCCTGTCTGTTTATCGGCCTTTATGTAGGCATATCCTACACTAATAAAGAGACGTAATGAACGCCACATGCTCGACAGATTGCCCACACCGTATCCGGTATTTTCATGGTTATCACCAGTACAGGAGGTTTTAGAGGATTCTATTCGTGGTGAAGATGCACTTCTACCCTATCGTGTTGGTTTCGAAGGTGATTCTTTTCTTTTCTCAAGGAATTTTTTTCCTATTTCTATTTCTGTTTCTCCTTGCGTTTAATTTTACTAACAAATTTCTTCCTAGAACATCTACCGGGGCAAATTCGCGACTGGAATGAGGAGCTTCAAACGACACATGAGATGCCTCGGACAAGTCTCTCTGAACGGCTCACCAGAGATAGGAGTGTTTTCAAAATTCACGGCGATTTTATCAACGCGGCTATTAAGGTTAAGTTTTTGATGGGGAAGAATATTGATTACTTTCTGCTCATACGAAACGTTCATAATGCTTTAAAGGATAAAGCTCTCGGCCTTGATCAATTCCTAAAGGATGCGCTATGCATTCGACTTCATTAAGTATCGTTGGAGGTGACTGAATGCATATCTGGCCTTTACAATGACTTGCGGTGGCCTTCCGATGTATCGAACCAGTGCTGCTATCCTCCTAGATAAGTTTGGTACCAATTTACCGACTCCGGAGAGATGGAAGGCTTGGTGGGCCATGGGCGCTCGGATCGATTCCACGTGTGCGTCGCAGTGGCGCCTCCAACCACTACGCCACAAGCGCCACGACAAAACCTTTATACCATTATTATTTGACATAATAACAGTAGGTGGAGATATGACGAGTGTAAACCTTTCAGGGTGCTATAGCCGTTGTTGAAGGTAACGTAGTGGCTATCAATCCAGCTGATGAACCAAGAACGCATATGTTTATATGGAATAATATCTTCTTCAGTCTTGGTTTCGACGTGAAGGATCATTACAAAGTAAGATTTTTAGGTCTAGAAATTGACGCTTGTTCGTAACTCAATCGCAAAATTGTGTATTGATTTGACTGCATACGGTGCAAAATATTGACTACTTTCAGTTTCACTTACTTGAATACTTGGAGGACCCATCCTCACTGGTTATGCGGACCCAACATATTCTCCATTTTTTGAGTTTTGCTGGTTTAGCCTATTGTGTTTCCCTTGAGTCCCGAGGTCAACCTGACCAAAGTGTGCCCCAGGTCTTCACCACCACAGGCAGCCGTGGCCCTTGTGGCTGAGAGCGAGATTTGCCACCATGCGACTAGTTTGATACCACAGCAGTGGTGTATTCTGATATTGGTTTTCTCTTAGCTGGGCTTCCTGGTTGAAACGCCGGACTCCTTGGCTTAGTAGGCCTTGCCGGAGAGATGAATTCCCCCGCTGTACATTGCGCAGCACAACACTCAAGAACACCTCCTAGTCACGATTGAAGTAGTAAACCATTGGGAGACTTTCACTTCAAAAAGTGACGCATTCAGTTTTATGCTGACATATCTTCGCAGATCATTATATACTTTTTCAGTGGAAATCGGAAATAAGGGAATATACAAGTTTTTGCTGGGTAAAAACAGTGTTACTTTACCAAGCTGAAATTCTGACTTTCTGTAGCCCACCAAGTCTTTTTATATCGTTTCTTTTCGTCGAAGATTGTATTGCATGGAAGAAATGAAATGAATTTGAAAAAGCAGTGAAGCAAGTTTTCTCTCACCTGTGTATCAATGGTGTTTGTGGCTATGCGCTTGTGCTGGGAAATTTGAAAACTTGAACTCCATTTCTTTCTACCTTGGAAATTTTGGTTCTTAACAAGTTTAGGACTGGAATAATATAAAAGTCGGGTGGGTGATAGAGATGGAGCAGACCCTTTCATATAACTGTGTAAGGTTCTCAATCCTCAACTACTCTAATAATTCACAAACTTTTCGTGTGAAGTGCTGAGATATTTGCAAAACTCCGGACCACAGGTGNCAGCGCGTGTTCGTTCCCCACTGCATACACCTGTGGTCCGGAGTTTTGCAAATATCTCAGCACTTCATACGAGTTATATTTCACAACATACCCTGCCATTAAGAAGAAAAAGGCAGTAAATAAAAGAGTTAAGACCACAAAGTTTTATTATTTTTCGAAAAACATGTATTTTCTCCGGGTATTGTAAAATCCTAGGAGCTCGGAGGTGATGCAGCTGCATTGGCAGCGACTTCTGCTGACTTGCAAGGTGTTCGAGCGTACGCAGCAATCGACAATTCTAAGCTCTGTACACTAGGAATGGCAGTTATTGATTACAGGGGTTACCGAGTAACGGCACAGAGTATAATACCAGGGATCTTGGATAAAGAACAAGTATGTTTTAATTACAGATCCTATTTGATTGTCGAAGTGAATTTTTTTAAAACACTTTAAGGAACAGTCTGTTGTTTATGGCTCCGTGGATTTTGGTAGAACAGTGGTATCATCCGAGAAGTATCACGAACTTTTGGAATCGTCTGCTAAAGAGCTTAAACTTTTGCCTCATGAAGTCGTCATTGACAACAAAGGCAATACTGTTAAACTTTTCACTAGTTATGAAACAAAGGTAATTTTCACTGTTTTGAGTATGTCTGTTATCAAAAAGTTGGACAATATTCATGTATTTTACAAACCCATATGATTTCGTACGACTACGTCAGGGTATCATTGGGAATGATGGTCGCTACTATGTGCTTGATTTGCTGCGAACAATGCCTCCTGATGTGCACTACCTGCAGGATGCTGAGGTTTTCTGTTATTCTAACTATTGTGCTTCTAGTTCCATGCTTGGCGACGTGTTATAGACAGATATCACCTTAATAGACTTTGCATAAAGGGGATGAGAACCACCATTTTCCGTTTGGTTCGATCCTAATTGCATTTTAGGTGTCGGAGAAAGCTAAGACACTTGGATTTCCGCGTTCATTTCCGCACAAACTTGCTACACTACGTCAAGAACTTGTTGAACATTTCCATGAGTCAGTTTTTGGTGTCGTTTCAAGCAATGTCTTGTCCTTATTTTGAACCATTTCCGATATTATGTCGTTTCCTTCTTTTCTACCACAGTTTCTCCAGCAACACTCTCAGTAATCACAATGATGCTGGAATATTTACAAAACTCCAGACTGCTGATGTCTGCAGTGGGCACCGAACATGCTATTACCCTTTCCGGGAGATAACGCGTTCACCACCATACCATGCGAGTCCTTCGTTTCGCCTTTTTCTCAGCCTTGTTATTGACCCTCGGGGATTCGCCTTCCAGAAATTTCTCAAATGAAACCGTCTGAAAATGTTTTGAAGGTCTCGTTGTCTGCAGTTTATCAAGATTGCGGCGAATCACGTTAGACAGCACCTCGCTGCAAGCAAGGATGATCAGGATACACGTCAGTTTCTGACAATCTGTTCATCTCTCTAATCTCATCTCATCGATTGTTTATTGATAATTTTTCTCTTTCCAGACGATATTGAGAATGAAGTGACTCGAGCACTTGTTGATGTGAGTGAAGGTCGCGAACCAGTAACTAAATATAGCATAACGAAGGAGGCTGTGTCTAAAGTGGATTTGAAAACTTTCACGTTCCCTTAACAAATATTTATACTTTATTATAAGTCCATTATTTTAGGCAGCGGAAGCAGTAAACTCTTTAAAACCCGAAACATTTGACATACGGTTCAATCCAGACTGTTTTTCCACAACTGTAAAACACGCCCCTGGCGAGGATATTGAAAAGCACAAAAGTCTTCTTGTTGAGGTAATTATATTCTGTTGGTTATCACATGCATCATCTGGTATTCCTTTGATTATCAAATGATTCGACAGGTGCTAGTATAGTATCTATTTCTCCTTATCCCATGCAAGATTCCCCTAATGGGTTTTGTTCGTAACTCGCTCGGTATCACACATTTTTTAATCTTCGCGAAAAATTCTGAGGGTGGGTTGCCTTCCTGCTATGTGCTTGACATTCCGTGGGACATAGTCACTGATAGACGTCTTCATTACATTTGTGATACCCTTGAAGAATCCTTATTCTGCTCCCATTAACACTATCCTCCTGCTAGATCCTGAAGCTAAGTCGTCCGCCAAGCTGAATTTTCAACTCAAATACACGCTGATGTAACTAATAGTCTCTTCTCAAAAGTTGACTAATTATCTGAGCAATTCCAAACATGCTGTTTTTGCCCGTTTTGTGTTTTCCTCCCCTAGATTTAACAGCTTTGTCTCCTTTTTGTGCGAGAAGTAAAATTTTGGAATAGCAAGAGAAAATTTCACTGTACCGTAATGTGGTCCCCTCCCTCATGATACTCTCCATTGGAAGACATTCATGCCCAATTTTGAAAGGTGAGCGTCTGCAATCATGGATGCTTGGTTGCCATGATTCTGAACTCATAAACTCTAATCTTTTCATCCTGTCCATTCTGCTTCTAGTCCGTGGGTCCTGATGTGAGGTCTTCTCACTTTATCTTGTTCTAGTTTTAGCATTGAACTCACCAATGACGGCCCTGTATATGATTGATTCTTACGACACGATTTTCTGTCCACTTCTTTAAGTTCATCTGGAAACGTTGCGACTTGGTTCTCGCTATTGCTTAATGTTAGGAGGTTGTTTGGAAACTAATGCAGATTCGCAACCTGTATAAAGTGTTACTAAGCTTCAGCGCGTTGCAACCACTGTGCCTATGATCGTCGGTTGTCGTAAATGATCCATTTATCGTTGCCCATAAAAATACGGTTGAGAAATTGATCGCTTTTGTTATGCAGAAGAAACACCGGATACTCCAAAACGGAAATCTTTTTTTACTTTCGTTCAATTCATAAGGCATTCATTTGTCGAGCTTCTTCGAATTCCCAAATTTTTTTAAGTTCTTTGGAAAAAATGAGATGCTTGCACTGAGTTCCCTCTCCGGAATAAATGAAATTCTTACACTGAGTTCTCCAACTTCTCAACTAGCTGTGCGTGTATTCGTTTACACCAAGACCTTCTTCGTCGTTAATAGCAGAACGACGTCGGCGATATCCTTCATGTTCAAGGTGGAATTCGTCACAACGAATTTTTCGAAACCGACGCCACAGTGTACATTCGCTAAAAATTTCTTGGCTCTTATACCTTACCATTATTTCGAGCCGTTTGCGTTGAATACGGCTGACTTTGAATTCATGAAGGAAAATCTGTCGAAACTGATGTTTTGACTTCAAAATATCTCTGAAATTAAAAACCTTCCACTAATTTTCCAACAACCTAATGTTAAGACGTGGACGTTGAAAATAGTCAAAGCCAAAGAAGATCCGCATTTCTTCAACCGTAATCGTCCGATTTGGGTCGTTTGTTGTTCAAGAGAATCGGTGTTCGTGAAAAAAACTAGTATTGGCGAGGATATCAGCATCACCGACTCCTCCGTTGTCACCTTGTATATTCCAAGAAGCAGTTCTTTTCCGGTATTACAGACGGCGATGAACGGTCAACAACGTACTTGTCCTACCCAACGCCACCGTATTTTTTCTTTTTAACTTTCGGAGGGAGGTGGGAGATAGGTCGATTAAGGCTGTTTTTCTGCTGTTTATAGCCACAGCGTTCTAGTAGCAAGGCTGTGTACTGGGGTTGGATGTGCTCACACTTGCCAGACTTCTTAGAGTGAATTTGGAACTTATTTGTTACAGGCGACTCGTAATCAGCTCTTGTGTTCTCCCCAATCACTTGATTGCAGATTATTGGCCGAAGTTGCTTTCTGTGCTAAAATTTGCGTATGCGCAGATACATCCGTGTATAAAAATTTCTGCGTGGATACAGAAGGAATATGTCAGTTTGACGCTGCAGGGATAAGGAGTCCATCTATTGGATTTGTCTTCGCATAAGGGAAACGCAGTGGAGTTTTTATTCGCGCTTTACTACTTACCACACACTTTGGGATGCGCAACATAACTTCGCAGTTGTGAAATACGTGGGTTCTATTTGGCAACGAGTTTGATTCGCCATAAGGCAGATCCACACAGAATATGGATATAACCGTTTGACGGTTTAAAAAGCTTCGAACTATGTAGTAGTAGTAGATTCCTGTGGCAAAGATCGTTAGAAATAGCTGAGAGGCAGGCGAAACAAAGGACCCGCATGGTGTGGTGGTGAACGCGTTACTCCCCGGAAAGGACAATAGCGCGTTCGTTCCCCACCATAGACACCTGCGGTCCAGAGTTTTGCAAATATCTCAGCAACGTTGTGGTTGTATTTCGCTTAGTACCCTGCCGCGAAATTATAGTAGGCAGAAAATAAAAAGGTATAAATTATGTAGTAGTTATTTTAGACGTCTTGAAATTCAGTTATAAAAGCGTAGTTTTGTCAGAGATGGTTATGTGTGATCTATGATGTGCGAGCTATATTACATATTTTTTTAGGCTGCTGAGTTCATAGTGACCACTCAATTGCCCGAGTTCGTCTCAAATTGTCTTGATGCTGCCATCAGTCCCATCGACGGTGAGAGTCTCTGCGATTTGATGCATACGCGTGGAATCAACGTTAGATACCTGGGCGACGTCGTGAGAAGAGTAATTTTTCGTTTTCAGTGTTGGAAGTTCAAATTACATATGTATAGATAGATATAGATGTGTACAAATGTGAAATATGTTTCATAGTGTGTAGTGTTAGAGCGTTTTAGGTTTATCTAAGCACACTACCTCAAGCAGATTTCGGAATCTGCTTCACATCTGAGCTTTTAGGTACTGGAAAATGGACCTTCATCGTATATGGTATCTTTAACCATAACCGAACTGGTGTCACGTTGCGCGAAACACATTCTTAGGCAGTATATAAACTCCATTCCACAGGTTGTCTTTATATTCGTGGTTGGAAACTTTAGTATTACATTTGATAAGACTTTCTGAGCTTTCCCTTTTTGGCTTTTTCCTACATTGAGAACTTAGGCGTTTCAGGAACAATTAAGTTGTGCTATTTCCCATCTTCTTAATGCGGTGTTTGGAAACCTAGCGTTTGATCATGGCGCTGGAGCATACACGGAGAGAAACACAAAAAGGGTAAGATTTTTTTGAGATTAGAGAAAAACTTTGTGATAACAACAGCTTTTAGTGACAAAGTAACGGAAATTTACATGTATGAAACAATATACAAAAGATATAAAAATAAAATAAAAATATATGAAATATACAAAGATAACTATACCACTATGACACAAAGATGACTAACTATACCAACCTGTTTTCAGCTCAACAACATCAGTTCATAAGTACATGTAAATTTCTTAGATTTTATTTGATTCATAGTTATTTCATTTGTTATAACAATTTTTAATGCACATTCAGAACGGCAGAAAGTCAAAGAAAACATCAACAACCAGTGAATGGGCTGCTTTCAATACAAGGGAATTTTGGATAGCTCTCTGCCATGAGGCCAAAAATTATTACGCTTTCGACCTTAAGGTAAATGTGTGTTGTATCGGAAGTTTTTTCTTAAACGTTTTGTACTCACGTCAAGAGTATTTATAGGCCGATTCTATTGAGTCTGTCGTCGATCAATATGGTGTACAGAAAATTTCACTTCTTCGTCGTTTATGTGGTATGCTTGGCATTCAGCTACTCATTAAAGTAAGCTGTAAGCTTTGAAATAACGTATTTCAATTTGCATACGTTTAAAAGATTGTGTTTGTTGATGGTGGATGATTTTCAGGACTACCAACTTGATTCTAATTCGACTAGGACTCGTCTACCTTTTACAGCAGATGACGTTCAAAACTTATTTCCGGTGACAAAGCATAGACAGGTAGTGGTTATTCTCTGAACTGATTTTCTAATATTACTTCTACAGATTCATTTTTCAGTAGTATGAGTTGCGTGTTTTAGGATCTCAGTGCGGAATCTTAGCTAGATACAAACCTCTGTCACAGAAGAGCACACCAAGTTACCCATAGCTACCTTTCCATGAAATACTGTAAACATAAAAACCCACTCACCATCGAAACCGTGAAGATTTTCGTATATTTCTAGCCTGTGCTTTCAGCCGTGCGCTAACGACGCGAAGAAGCTGTTTAATCGCGGCCAGAAAGCGATGCATATTGGACATTTACGTGAAGCATATGAGTACATTGCAGAATCAGTGGGTTTTTCTGCTTTTTTTAAACTTTAGTTCTTGCTTAGAGGCAGTTTATCTGCAAAATGCGTAGGATTTAACACCTGTGAAGCATTTTTTATAATTTTCTTTTTGGAGTGCCATGGAATACTGTAGGCTACTCCATGGAATACTATTGTTGGAGCCTCAATATACTTATATCGATATTTGGATGGCCAGCTCTCACTGTTTGTGCGGGCCCCAGCATAATCTCCATTTTTCCGGAGATTTGCTGGTTTAGTCACTGTGGTTCCGTGGAATCCCGAGGACAATCTGGCCAAAGTCTGCCCCAGGTCGGCACCACCACAGGCAGTAGCTGCCGTTGTGGATCAGAAAGGGTTTTGCCACCATGTGGCTAGTTTGATACCAGAACGGTGGTGGATCCTGGTATTAGTTTACTCTTAACTGGGTTTCATGATGCGTGTGCCGGACTACTCAGTTTGGGAGACCCTGCTGGATGATGAACTTCCCCCCCGTACATCATAGCCCGACACCCAGGATCACTTCGCAGCTACGATGAGGCGGTAAACCGTTGGGATGGGGCCTTATTATAGATCAGGAAACTGTTTCAAGGTTTCAATTCAATATCATACTTATGGAAGGTTTTGTAACCTCATCTGTGTGCATTTCATACCGAGAACATGGTTAATCAATTTTTCGTTGTTTTATTGATACACTATTTGATGTTTAGGTGAACTTGATGTCCTCCGTCTATGGTTCGATGCATGGTGAACTTGCTCAAGCTCTGCGTATGTTAGCTCGCCTTGCTTATATACTCGGAGATCTCGCTGAAGCTGTCGCACAACAATATCGCGCAACATTGATGAGCGAACGATGCAATGGAATCGACAATGCGTATACTATTATTGAATATGTAAGCTTAGATATTGAAACGAAGCGCTCCAACAATTGAAGAGGAACAATTTTTTCTTTAGGTAAACTTGGCCCACTTCGCTTTTTCAAATCTCTACATTCCTGCCTCCCTCAGAATCCTTTACCGCGCTCGTTATTTGCTGCTTATTGCATATGGAGAAAATCATCCATTAATGGCGCAAATAGATGTGAGTTTTTCGTTGTATTTGCTGCTTCTCATTTTTCTAAAAGAACTCGGTCTTCTATCTTCAGGGAAATATTGGTGTTATTTTATTCGCCGTTCACGAATTCGATGCTGCATTACGCTTTTTGACTTCTTCTGAGGCTGTCATGACAGCTAATAGGGAGCCTAAACGTCTTAAGGTTTGAATTCTGCTGGTGAATTCTGTGGCTACAAGCTTGCTCTTGTCTAGACTTGTTGTCAAGTATAGAGTTACGACATTTCGTCAGCATGAAGTAATCTCACTTTCCTTTTTACGCTATAGTTGTGTTGGAGAAACATACTTCCAATTTTCCTGTTCCAAATCTACTAAGAACTCATAAGAATTTCTTCCGGAAGCTCGGTCGCCTTACATACATCTGCTATTTTGACTTTTATTTCCTTTCTTTAGTCAGCCATAATACAACACATTGCTGCTCGCGCGCATGCATCTCGTGGAGATTTCCGCGCGGCCCTTGCTGCAGAGAAAGAAACATACTTTATCTACAATGGTTTGCTCGGACCTGAGCACGAAAAAACAAAGGTACTATTTGAAAGAACTCATGTCGTTCCTTAACATTTTTTTTACTACCTCACGGTGATCATTTTCATATTGACATATTCTTACAAATAGGAATCGAGCGAATACCTCAGTCAACTAACAATGCAAGCGGTCGCCTTCCAGAGAAAGGTCATGGATGCCACGAAAGGTAATTCGGTCGGTCCACTCCTACCCACTCAGGTATAGCTTTTTATTAACATTATATTGTACTAGGTCCTTGTTAGTAAGTCTATGCTGCGTCTTTCTTAAATACAGATAATTGAATTAGATGGTTCAAAGTTTCAAGAAGCGGTGTAAACAGATTTAGGCTTGACGTCATGTGCATGAAGTTGCTGCCATCGAGGAGATTTGGAGTATTTTTTCCTTATAACATAAATAACATAGCACTGGGTAAACTTTTTGATTTACACTTTAGATTAAGTAATCTTTAGTGGTGAAATCGTTTTTGGACAGTAAGTTAGATTCTACTAAACATGCAGTTGCAACATGTGGACACTTTAGGGGAACCAATTGTTTTGCTTGTCTGGAAATTGGGTAATCGGTATAGCTATTTGCCGACATGGAGTTTTATATGTGGGCAGAGTTCAGAGCAGGGGCGGAAGATAGGCAAAATTGAGTCTGCTTTTTTTTATAGAGCAACACCACATGATTATTGAGTCCGTTCTTTCATTTGTCACGTTCTGTTTCTCCAGCTTCCTCAACCATCGTTGTCGTCGATTCTTGAAGTCTTAAATGTTTTAAACGGAATCATTATCATTTCCGTCGGTGGCCTTCCGAATGCCATCGACTATACGGAAATAGTGGAAGGTAAGCCGAGCCCGAGATCACTTCGGATGATCGACGAGGCACTCGACTAATGCTGCTATTGATTATCAAAATCTTCACCTTAGTTCTATAATTCTGTATATTTTGTGGCTCATTTTTGTAGCATTTTTAATTTCTATTTGCTCTGTCTTAAAAGCGAGTTCGTGTTCTCCACTGCACATCTGCTTTGTGGTGTGAATTCGATTGGTGGAGAACTATCCGATTGTTTCTTTACACGGCGTGCATTGTTGCATGAGTGTAGTTCTAGGAGTGTAGTAGTTTGTTAGATGCAATTGTTGTTAATTTCAAAATTGTTGCGAGTTGCTCCCACATTTTATTTTGTTGTTACAAAACATAGGATGGATGTTAGGCTTTAGTGTTCAGTCATCATCACTGTGTTGTCCATTTACTGAAAATTGAGCATTTGAACCTTGAATGATTCGAGATTCTGTCTGAGAATCGAATCATTGTTTGATATTAGCCTATAGTCGTCGTATAGTAGTGTGCTATAGAGTCCTGTAGGTCATATGTTCTGTATATCATAACTGTTCGTAATGTTCCATGTTTTGGAATAAGGCTCTATCTACTGGCCATCATAGGCGGCACAGAAATTTTTGATATATAATATATTAGGTGAGGTAGAGTTAGTATTATTTAGTGTCTGCCATAACTTAAAGTTTATAATTAGCTCTTGTTGGTTATTTGTTATACATCCGAGAGTGTTTAGTCTTCGTTCGTTTTGCTCATATTGTGGATTCTTTCGAATACCATCTCGTTGTTGTAAGCCCATATCGCTCACACCTTTTAGCATCTTATTTGTTAAGTCTTCTGTTTCTATGAGCATTTTTTTGCAATATAATTGATATCAAAAAGTAAATATAGTTTGCCCAGTGTTCTTTATGCAGAAGTAAGATCGGAAAATTCTCTAGAAACCGTTGATGAGGACGAGCTGTCATGGTGTACAAAATTTTTGAACCGTTGGAACGTTGATCCGTGAGAAATGTAGTTTCTCAGTTCAATAGTACTAAACAAACAATGAATTTCAGTTTATATGGCGTGTTTGAAAACATTTTGGCTAGTTAGGAGCAATAGCGAGAGTGAGTTAAGTGGTTTGCATTTTGTGGTGGTTTGTCCTTAGAACACGGTGATATGGTTAGGTTAAGATGGCACTCAAATTGCAGGTCTTCACCAAAAAAGTCCCGACACCTGAAACACGTCACCCTTGAGTAGTGAAAATGAGGGAGATAAATGACATCACTTTTAGAGCAGGGTATAATGGGATTTACTTACTTGCTAGCCAACGAGCGTAGTCGTCTTGATGATCCATTGAAAAATTTTAAACTACCTTTGCTACTTAGCAACTCTCATCGATTTACGAGTGGTGCCACTTTGGTGTAGGTTTTTTTAACAGTCATTGTAATACAACTTCTGTAATGCTGAGATATTTGCAAAACTCCGGACCGCATGTGTTTGTGATGGGGAACGAACGCGCTATTGTCGTTTCCGGGGAGTAACGCGTTCACTACCACACCATGCGGGTCCTTCGTTTCGCCTGTCTCTCAGCTAGTTTTATCGATCTTTTGCCATCAGCAATCACCCGTTGGCTGGATTAATCTGAGAAGCCCAAATCGGTAACGTGCCCAGTAAAGCTGGGGCTATGGTCAGTAGTAGAGCGTAGTCTAGAGTCATAGCAGTAGAGTCATTATCTAATGGTTTTCCCACTCTGACGCTTCCGATTTTTATCTGCTTTCGATTACCTTTTTATGAGCTAGGTTTAACTGGCTCCCCAGATCAATCTCGTTGACGGGTGATTGCTGATGGCAAAAGGTCAACAGAACTAGCTGAGAGACAGGCAAAACGGATGACCAGGATGGTGTGGTGGTAAAGTGCGCTACTCCCCGGTAAGGACAATAGCGCGTTCGTTTCCCACCGCAGACACCTGCGGTCCGGAGTTTTGCAAATATCTCAGCATTATAGAAGTTATGTTTCGCAACATACCCTGCCATTAAAAAGAATAGGCAGTAAATAAAAAGGTTAAGTCATTTGAGTATTCTTTCAAAAACACTGCCGTTTATTTGAATGGTATTGTGTGGCATGGTCTACCACTTGGTAGTAAGATGAGTTGGTCTATTTACTTATTTACGACATAAGATAACCCGTTATTGAGATAGAAGTTTTGTTACTATCGTTACCATTACTATTATTGTTTTTACACCAGCCGTCTCTCTCATATACTGTGGGGATCGGAACTCTTATTACAGTATTTATTATTCCTATTACTATTCACCTCTATCACCTGTCGTTCCACTGGTCGTCGAGTGACTCGAGCAGGCGCCAGTTAATCTTCCATTTTTCTCTGTCGCGTGCAAGAGTAGCCCAGTGGGTTCTGCTCACTCTAGGGACTCATTGAACATCATATCTTTCTTCAGCGATCTCCGTGAAGAAATCTAACCATTGGCCTTCTTGCTGTGCGATTGATATCCCGAAGAATGTAGTAGCTATCAGATTTTGTCTATCGTTTGTCGCTCAAACGCGTTATGTGTTCGTCACATTTTATCTTCCACATTTTGGCTTATAGAACGGTGTCTTTATTTTAAACCGTTAACGTAGGTAGAAGTTTTTGACCCTCACCCTCACTTGCGTGATATGAGGTACTCTTAGCTTCGTTCTTCCAACTGAGCGTTCTATAACGCTGAGTGGTCTTCCATCCTGCTTATGCAGCGACCAGGTTTCTGACGTATACGTTAAGGCAGGAGGCATCGTGGAGTCGAAAAGGTGGGCACGGATTCGGGCGTTCTTTTTTCTCTTCACTACATCCTCGATGCTCTTGAAAGTCCCCCAAGCCGCTCGTTTCTTCTGCTCAACTCGGGAGCTGAGTCGTTCATCATACTGATTTCCCGACCTAGATGGATGTAACTGGAGTATTCGGAGGTATTCATTCCGTTGAGCTTGAATGAGGCATACGAAACCATTCTGTTCTTTATGAACATTGTTTATGTGAGATTTAGTCGAAGACTAATTTTTCCACAGGCTTTGTCAAAGTCGGCATTCATTCGTTCCACTTGGCTAATATGCTGATCTGCCAAGATATTCCAGCATAAAACTAAATGTGCCACTTTTTTAAGTGAAAGCCTTCCAACAGTTTACCGCCTCATCGTGGCTGGGAGGTGTTCCTGGGTGTCGGGCTGCGATGTACAGCAAGAGGATTCATCTCCCCAGCAGGATCTCCCTGCTGAGTAGTCCGGCGTTTGCATCAGGAATCACAGCTAAGAGTAAACCAATACCAGGATCCACCACCGTCCTGGTGTCAAACTAGTCGCATGGGGGCCTGTGATGGTGACGACCTAGGGAGACTTTGGCCAGGCTGACCTTGGTACTTCAGAGAACCACAATGGTTAAACCAGCAAAACCCCACATAAATGGAGATTATGCTGGCGCCCGCACAACCAATGAGAACGGGCCATCCAAGTATCCAAGTAAGTAAGTTAATATCCGATGCCTCGTCCCAAAGCGTTGATGATCTTGATGTGGTAGGTAGGCTTGCCGTCGTACGGTGCGTTGAAAACAATCTTCATGTTCGACCGAGTGTTGATGTCACCAGTAAGTAGGAACGGAGGTCATTTCCTTTCTTCTACCTGATCACCGTCATTACTAGCATGGTGCTATTGTGGTTCCATTCTGCTCAGGGCCAACCAAGCCTCTCATCCTTTCATGGTCGGGAAACCGATACCGGACTTGTATGGGAAAAGTTCACTTATGCAATCCGATTGGGAACGCTCCAGCCAGGCTATCTCAGGACTCCAAGGAGAATTGCTCGACCAGCATTCTACGATTTCTAGATGAAATAAAAATGCTCAAGCAGCAACCGAAGCCACACGTAAAGTTGGAAGATCTTCGTGGATATGAATATGAAGAAATGAATTGAATGTGAGAAGTTTTGGGATCCGCACAGTAGACGTGAATACGGGTTAAATAAAAAAAAAGTGAATACCACTGTGAAATGGAGATATCTTGTTTGTGAAATTTTTATACAGCTCATGAAGAATCTTTATGTATTGGGTAGGGTCTCCTTAACTGTGAAGGACTTCCATGGCTGCTTCAATCTCTTCTGAGTGAAAAACCTATAAATTGCCGAAAGTAAGATAGAGCCATCTTTTGTACTGTCGCAATACTTCAATGGGTCTTGTTATCGAATGGATGTGGTCCACCGTACTTTTTTCGAAATCCTGCTCGCTCACATGGCTGTGCTTCATCCTGTGTTCTTTCAATCCTGTTTAGGATGGCTAAAGTGAAGAGTTTGTAGACGACAGACAGTAAGCAGATCGGGTGATAGTTGCCGATATCGCGGAGTTACCCTTCCTGAACAATAGTAGCACGGTCTTGTTGGTCTTTCCATGACTAGGGACCTTGCATTCAGACAGAAAACGTGTGAAGAGGCGAGCTAGTATGTTAACGAGGACTGGCGGAAAGTTCTTCAGGCGCGAGGATCTTATCCAGTCGGAGCCAGGTGTTGTTCGATTCTTCACCGGCGAAATAGAATGACCGATTTCGGAAGAGAAAGGTGATCAGACAAATGTCCATCCTCCTCTATTTCATATTATAGCAGCAGGACGTATTTCGAGCATAGCTGCTGCTCTTCTTCTCTCCTTAAGATCTTCTTTTATCGCCTTTCTGCATTGTTTTCCATGTTCTGACGCGACCGCGGTTGCCTGCGGCTCGTGCAATTCCACGCTTGTGTATCGGCTCAAGTGTTTCTGGAAACAAAAGTCTCTTGGTGACTTTCGAATTCACAACTTTCATAGCGCTAACGCGAGGATATTGAATGAGCCGATGGTATTCACGTCGATGTTATCAAGAATGTCATCTTCTCAATAGCTGACTAATGAAGGGAATAAGTCGCAATTTATGGTGGTTTAGGGCTTCGTTTTTTCAACTTTGCGGCTTCCCGTTCATTCCTCGAGGAACGGAATTCTCGGCGTAAGTGATGGTCTATTCTAATGTAGAATTTTACGAGAACAGCGACAATGGTGAGCCGAAACTCTTTACTGTTATG